CACCACCAGTGTTAACAGTCCTGTCAATTTTCCCACCCATGGATGTAAAACAAAACATATTGTTGAATGACCGAATATTCTTCAAGAAATGGGTACTCTTTTGGTCCTGGTTAAAGAACAACTGCCTGATTGCCATAGGTGGAATATTAGGAGGGGACAACTTTATCTTGCCATGACTGCAACAAAGTGAATATTTTGGATTTCAAACACCGCTAGATTTATTAACTCGCTCCTCTAACCAAAACATTGCTCCGCAGTGTTCGCAAGAGTACGTTTGATCACCCAGATCGTTGTAATAATCTAACCAAAAAACAAATGTTAGTACTCCAAATTTAGATAATATCTACAATTAATTGTATCTATACTCACGATCTCCAATTGTAGATTTTGATGGTGTATCATGGACCACACTATTAAATGCTGACATCAAACCACGTTGCATTGAAACATCTGGTGATGAGATATTGTAATCAACAACGCACGACCTTGTTGTTTGATCTAAAAGATGAAATGAAAGTTTAATATTCATATATGGATTTATAACAATCTACTTTCTAAAAAGATTTATCATGTATATAGAAATTTTACCATTTGTATGAATATGCCAAGGTCCTCGACTTTCATAGGACACAATAGGGTTACTTTCGAGCACGTTAGCTTGCGATGTCGTTGATTGAGTAATATTTTGTAAAACTATTAAAAAAAAGGTTTGAAATCTCATATCCAAATTCAAAATATATAATATACAAAATTAAACAAATATACTTTTATTGTAGAAAATTGTTTAGAAAGACCTCTAATTTTTCCGTTGGCTAAACGCTTTTCAGTCTGAGATGTTGAATTAACACATGTCAGCTGAGATCTAGCAGTTGCCGATTGTATTGCATACGAACACTCTAAACAACAAAATTACAAAAACCACACGTTAATATGTATAATAAAAATAATTAAAATAAAACTCACTATACCAACAGACTGACATTTCATTTAAAATGAAAGCACTAACCATCCAAAAAAATTTACACCCGGATTTTTGAATGTTGCATTTTATGTTCAATAAAACAATAAATTAAACAGTTAATCATAAAGCAATGCATATGGGTTACATTTGCCACATTAAATACACTAAATTATAGAAAAAGTAGAATTTTTTTTTTTTATAATTGCCCAAATTCAAATACTCCAAACATAACACTCTAATCATTTACTATAAATTAAGCATATTAAATATATTAAACAGTAAAACATATCCAATAATGAGAACAATTGGCAATATTTAAAGATATATAATGATTCATACCATTGTATCCGTTGAAAGATTGTCCTGAAAGAGTTCTGTAGTGTGTACCAGTTAGACGGCTATTATTTTGAGGTGTTACATTGACACACGTAATCTGAGATGTACCACTTGACATTTCTATTGTAATTGAATTGTCTAAAATAAAAAAATCCAAAATGTTAACATTATTATAGTACACTATATATAGCACCGACATTGCAATATAGAAAGAAATTAATTACCAGAAATCGCAACTCGTTTTGGCGTGTTGAATGTTCCATATTCCGCACCATCATTTTCTAACATACAAACTAGAAAATACTTATAAACCAATAATTAAATAAGTAGTAATATGATCATCTTAGTAGATATAGTTAAAATGTACATGCTTATTTAACAAAATTGATTTAACAAACAATTGTATTTAACAATAAATTAAATGAAATACTATGTTTTATTTAAATATAATAAACACAGTAAATAAACCAAATTTAACAAATATGAATATCGTACTATAAAAAAAACATATGTACATATAAGCATACTAAAATAGTATATTTCACTACCAATATAGAATTTAACCATAACTTAAAACTCTACCTCTCTTTCTCACTATATATATATAAAGGTATATATATATATATATATATATATATATATATATATATATATATATATATATATATAAACGTATGAGTCAACTGTGGAAGGGTCCAGAAATATGCTTTCTGGACACCCTTCGTCACCACGGCCACCGTTTCCTGTCTTCTACCTCTCGCTCTGTCCATTTCTCCCAAACTCTATCTATCTATTGTATAAATCCAGATTCGATAGACGCTAATGGCGTCGAAAGCTTGAATATGATAATGTTCGCAATTTTCTTCTTGATTAGAGATCCGACGCAATTGTGTTGGGGTTCGATTGATAGCTACAGAATTGGGCGAAACCCTATATCTACGGTGAGGCTTAGTCGTTTCTACGAATTCAATCTACAGAAACCCTCAATGAGTCTGAGTGAGCTATGGATGAACGCAGTCGTTGACATTTGCAATTGCGTCCATGTTGAAATTAGGGTTTTCAAATCATGGAGGTAAATCATCGAAGGACTGTAAGTAACCTTCGTACTCACGCTGACCTAATCTCTACTATTTTTGCCCCAAAAATTTAGATGTAAATAGAATTTCAATTCGATTTATGTATGGTAAACTGCATGCGTGTATTGTTAGGGTATTGAAGTAAGAAAACTTGCATATTATTATTATCTGTTGCACTTGATTGTTTGAAATTTCAGGCTCTAAATTTTAGCTTTCCTAGAATTGATGATGAATAATTAGTACAAAATTAACCGTACTGTATGTTTAACCTTGTTCTACAGATTTTAATTCACCACTTTAAATAAACACAAATTGATAACAGGATACACAGTATGAAATTGCATGATAAGTTTTGATGAAACCGTGACAGTAATATAAGTTTTGATGAATTCTGATCAGTAACGTACCTTTATTTGAAACTGTATCCTTCCTTTTGGTGCCGATTACAGTTGATTTTGTTAACTTCTTCATTGATTTGAACTGCTCAGTGCTTTGTGAATTCTTTTTTGACAGTAGTGAGTTTATTTGAAAAGAAAGGTGTAATTGAAAAAGAATGGTGTACTTTGCATTTAAATGTGAATATCTGACTATATGTGAGTGGAAACCATTAAAGGAAAATGAAATTCCCTAGAATTTGCTATTACTTTATTAATTAATGATTACATCTATTGGGAAGCAGAAAAGACACAAATTTAAAAGATTGGATTTATTCCCAGATTTATCCTGCAATATATTGTGTTGAAGTTTTGATTACAATTCCAAAACATTAATAGATGTGTATTTTGTTTTCCAATTTGGTTAGCCAACTTTTATTTTTGCTGCTCAGTATAATTTTCTCTTTATTTTCTGTTTTTGAATAGACTTCAAAACTGTTATAACTCATTTACTCAATTTCTAACACTTGTTTGCAAGCACCTGGCACATGATGATAGTAATATCTGATGCACTTAGATTTCAGAGTTCCCATGATTCTATGGCATACTATTAAGCCTTTTGGAGCATGAAACAGTAGCACATTGAATTAAAGTTACAAATGTCAGTACAATACCTTTTTTTAATCTCAGTTTATTTCTCTTATTATCTTCTGTTTTTGAATAGACTTAAATTCTGATATAAAAAATTTCCTCATGATCTAACATTTGTTTTCAAGCAAATGGCAAATGATGATATGAATTTCTGATGCCATTAGATTTCAGAGTTCAAATCTTGCCCTAGGAGGACTATTAAACCTTTTGGAGCATCAAACAGTAGCAAATTGAATTTCCTTACTGCGAAAGACTACAAATGAAGGAGTTACGTTGTGCAGACTTAATTAGCTAACCTTGTTGTCCAGATGTGTAAATGTTGATCTATTTTCTGTCATTTATTAGTTAGTGTCCTCTTTGAATGAAATGAAGGTTGCACACTTTGGAATACAATAACAGTTATAGTTGGAGATAATTAGTCATTAGAGGAAAACAATTCATGTGTACCTCCATGATTTGATTCTATTTGTTTAGTGTTATAGTTCCGATAACTATACATTTTTTGTTAAAATTTCAGTGTACTGCTTTATTCAAGGTTTTATAATAGTAGTTGACTAAGAATTAAAACTTCACTACATGAAAAGAGTTTACATATTTGCTTCTATTCTGTTTAATTGGTCTATTATTCAACTATTTGATTGAGCACTAAACTCTTTTCCAATATCTGATAAGAGTTTACTTGAAGTTAAGTAAATCCAGCTTACCTTTATTTAGCAAGGACAACTTGACTTTGAAATATAATTTTAGTCCTTATTTGTGATATTAGATAAAGATGTTTTCCTAAAGATAACTTTAATATGAAATTTAGGAAAAGCAATTGTATTTTAATTTGGTCTGTCTTTATCTTCCATTTATATTTGAATTTGAATTGTACTTGCATTTATAGTCCTATGAATATTGTGTAATGTCCTGAAAAGCCACTAAAGCTCAAATGGATTGATTGGAGTCAAATATGTGTATAAGGTATGACATGGTTATTTACGTTTTTTTATTCATTCAAATAAAAGAAAATCAATACAGAGATACAGTATTGGAACTGATATAAGTACAATTCATTTCTTTCAGGTGGACTGAAAGTTCAAGGAACAAAAGGGGACAACTACTATTGCTAAAAGATAAGTACATTATTTTGATCCACTGCCAGTAGCCTTCATTATCATACTGTTTCTTGTGCATGCTAACTGATCTCTGCCTATTCATACCTGAAATGATTTAGGAAAATAGACAAAGCATAGAATAAAGCATAATAAAGTCACTTATAACAGTATCATAAGAAAGCACTTATACAAAGTGCCTATTTTCTATGGCATACCTGCAATGATTTAAGAGAATAGAGAATCCATCAAATAAAGCATACAAATTTAGAAATAAACAGTAGCATAAAAAAGCACTTATAAAAAGTGCTTAATGTCTAGGGCCAAGCAGCATGAATATGTACTTGGAGTACATATTATAAGAATCCTGTTTAGAAAACACCACCAATTAGAAAATAATATGTACTTAGGAGTACATATTATAAAAATCCTGATTACAACACCATAGTGCCTGCAAATCACCAAATTCCAATAATCTTTGTCCATCATTTGATCACAGAACAGTACATTAACTCTTCTCCTGTTTAACAAAAGCATTCTTTGTTTTCTTTGCATCTCTACTGGATGAAAATTGATCCAGTAAATTCCTCTTGGATGACACTGACTCCAGTAGCTCTCCTTGTTCCTCCAACTTTTGTTTCTTACCCAGAGTAGGATTTGGACTGCTTGCCTCATCACCCGATTCAGATTCCTGTTATAAATAACAACCATCAGTGAGTTAGACTCTTAAGAATCCAGTTTTTTTCAATCAAGGGACCATAACCAAAATACTTACATTAGACCCTGCATCTTGATCATCTTCATTTAGCATTCTAGATAGCTGATCTTGATCATCACTTAAACACGGGCAGTAATGATCAACTAAGTCTGAATCATGCGCTATTGCAACCACAGGTATAGCTATTGCTCTATTCTTGAAGTGATCATTCTTAACAGAAATCTTGAAGACCATAGCCTTATTACGGACCTCTTCCATACCAGTTGGCAGAGGAGACCCATCCTGGCAAAAAAAAAAAAAAAACAAAGTGTTGAAATAGAAACACTGTATTGTGTAGTCCTTTATTTTTTGTTGTGTTAAAACATACCGCCGAGTATTTGCTCCTTAAATCAAAAGCCGTCTTTCCCACAATTTCAGAGCACTCCTTGTCCCACAACAGAAAAGGAGCATCAGTGGTCTTATCTCCTACCCTCACAATCAGCCTGTACCTTAGGTTTCCCTCCTGCCATGTTGTACCACAGCTTAGGCATTGTAGAGCCCCATTCTTCAAATGCAACTTTCTAAAGCATCCCTCACTCCGGCATGAATGGTAATACCAATTTGTAGTACTCTCCACAGAAACAATCCTTCCAGGAATCCAGTAGTAGCCTTCCTGTTAGTAGAGAATAATTAAAATTGAAGTTGAAGATTTAGGAATAAAAAGAAAAAAATAGAAGGTTAAGATTTTGAGAATTTAAATTGTACCTCGGTTCTTTCATACAGATCTTTGATAGTTGTTACTATCATAGGAGATTTGGAACTTTCAGCAGGATTGCCATAGGAAATGTGAGACACAGTTTGCACACTTAGAGGTGGCCTGGTATCCACTTTCAAACTGCATATTAAAGAAAAAAAATATTCAACTTGTTGATCTAGATTACATGTTTCAAAATCAGTATTGTGTGTAATTACCTGTCTTTAAATTCATGGAATTCTCTGCAAGGATGATTAAACCATAACTGGGTTGCATTGTAGGAGGATGAAATTCTGAACTCATCTACAAATTGAGAAAAAGATAAGTGTTAAAAAATATTGAATTAGATGTTAATGAATAAGATATCATGCACTTACTATCCACTTTTTTTGCTCTACACAGTTGGAGTAAAACAATCAAAGGCCCTTCCACGTGTGTCTTGAAATAATGCATGGCTGTAGCAAATTGTTGATCCCAAACAGTACACTTAAGACGATTGCCCCTAAAAGTGAGATGAACAGATTGTAAGTAGATCAAATATATTGTACTCTCTAAATTTATAATGAGTTGATGGCTTAATGATAGTTTGCTTATAGAATATAACCACTTAATGCAGGTGTAACTACCCTACAACTAAAGGTGGTCTAATTGATTCTATTAAACAGTAGACTGCTCTGAATCTGTCCTACTGGGATAATATAGTGAAAAACCACCAATTTCAGTTTTGACTTTCAAAAAGCACAAGACTTGCATTGTGAAAAAGATAAGTATCTTTTGCAAAAGATAGTCAAATTACTTGATATCCAATTATTAGTTTAATAACATTTACTTATACGATTTTCTTCTACAATGACAGATTTTAATACATATTATCAGTATGGTATTTTCAAATAGCAGAAGACTATCAATGTGAAAAAGATAAGTATATTTTGAATTATAGCCATTTTATTAAAATTGCTTGATATACAATTATGATTTGACTAACATTTTCTTATAGGATTTTAGTCTACTATCACAGATTTTAATACATAGAATGATTATGCAATTTTAGTTTTATAAAATTTCAGTGAAATACAGGTTTAATTAAAACACTGATCAAAGTGAAAGAGTGAAGGCACTAAACAGTGGCCTGGATTCAATTCTCAGTTTTATAGATCTGTACAGAAAAGTATAAGAAAAAAACACTTACTGCCCATCTTCTATGAGAAAATCCACCAACTTAGAAGGAAATCCAGCTATAACAATCTCTTTGGGAGTGTAGTACTCGACCACTCTACCAATGACATCTAAAAGTGAAAATGAGTTAAAATTGAAAACAGTATAAAGACATAATAGGATATAGAATATAGGATATATATTATAGAGAAAAGAAGTAATAGACCATACCAATGAGATGCTTTTCAGACACCTTGCCCTCCATTAAGTCAGTAAAAGACTTAAGCCTAAACATTAGTAAGGGAAAACCCTTGCGTCTATGTCTCTCCACAATAGTCTCATGAGTAAATCTTATCATGTAGTTGTGATCAGTAGTTTTGTATTGGTAGTAGTGTGATATAACAGCAAAATCTTTGATGGCATACACCTTCCCTTCTGTTAAAAGCTTAGAATACTTTTCCACACATTCTTTCGGAATGTTACCATGAATGTATGTACCCTATCAACCAAGAACATATATATTGACTAACAAATTATACATTACTTTTTTGCAGTTTAAATTAAAAGAGAACTTACCTCAGAGTCATGGAAGACACATTCCTGGCTCTTGATGCTATCCAAACTATTGCGGCCTTCAGGTACCGTATAGGTACGAATCAATCGTAGCCTTATAGCTTTCTTGTAAGTGGATAGTTTGATGTCTTTGCCTAGAACATAAACAGGAGCCATTGGCATGTATTTGCAGATTTAATTGGTTCCTTCTAAGCAACCAAGAAAGATGAACGAAACAAAATGGTAGGCAATAATGAAGTTCCCTCTAAGTATTTATACATGGTGGCTGAGAAATTTGAAATCAGCATTGATCTCTTGGATGCCTCCCAATTAAACCTGCACATCGGAAGAACAAACGACACATGATCTCTCGGATGCCTCCAAATTATGATTATGATTTAATATATATATATATTGTGTCCGTTGTATATAGATAGAAATTGTATGTATTTGTATTTCTATTGTATTGTATTTCTCATTATTGGAGAGTTTATTAGAGTCCCAATTCAATATTTGTCAGCCGCATTAATATCATTGGCGACTGACCAGTTTCCCATAGAATTGGGACTCTAAAAAACTGCTACTAATCAAATTTGTATTTTTTCAATTCTTTCATTTCAAAGACCAACACCATTGATTTCATTTTTTCCTTTTTTTTTATTTCGATTAATCGAGAATGATAACCAAAACGACGTAGTATATATTGGGCGGGAAAATGGAGCCATTTCATTGGCCGAATTCTTATGGCTTTAATATGTAGGAAGAAGGTAGGTATTGGATGAAGCCTTATTTGATAAAATAGTTAGTTTATCAATCAATTTTGATTTGTTTGACCATTATTAGCTGTTTGACTTGGTTAAACAACCGATATGAGTGTTTGATTAATTAGTTTTTTGTAACAGCTTATTGCTCCAAAACACTAAAATTTAAAAAGCTATTCAAAGCAGTTTTTAAATTAGCTTTTTGAGAAAGTCATTTTGTATGTAATCAGCTATCAGCTAATAATCTAATATTATCAGGTAGTTAAATCCACTAACCGCTTATCTAACCGTTATTTATCAAATTAAACACCTCCAAAATCTGTTTTATAATCCTAATTAGTAAAGAACTACAATAAAATAATCAATTATCTAACCAACTTGAATGGAGTATATTAACTATATCTTATATAGTTGAGAGCATATACAAGAGTCAAAAGATAAAACAAAAATTGATGGAAGAAAGGCATTATCACATAGCTAGAGATGTATTGGTAGGTGACTATGATAATACATCTTCAAACAGTCAATGACAAAATGTCGGTAAATTATATTCAATATAATATTCACTTCTTTTGGAGTTTAATATGAAAGCGAAAAGAATTAATATAATGTTACTTTTGGTCATTTAATTATGACAATTAATATTTTCATTTTTTTAAAAATCTTAATTTGATAATTAATCTGATCACTCATAGTTTATAACTTCTTCAAATAAAATAAAATAAATTTGTTAATTGCCATACAGTGTGATACTTAAATGGCATCACGGTTATCATTTTAAATGGGTGATCATAAATTTGAACTTAGTAGGATACTATTATTTTTTATAAATTAAAGAATCATGAGTATTTAAAAAAAAAATTAATTAAATTTAAAATGCCATCACATGAAAGAGAATATAATGGTAAATTGATGATAGTTTGAACATTTGAAATCGATTTTGGTTAATTTCAAAAAATTAAAGGTTCAAAAGAAATTAAATTGATAATTAAAAATTAAAAATTAAGTGTCACTATATTGGGAGAACTAAAATTGATGATAAAGGCCAAAAATTTAATCGTTACAAAAAAAATTGAATAATATAATATTTTAACATATATATATATATATATATATATATATATATATATATATATATATATATATATATATATATATATATATATATAGAGAGAGAGAGAGAGAGAGAGAGAGAGAATAGTTACTTCATATGTATTTAGAGACATTACATTGGCTAAAGATTTTATGGTCAAGCGGCATAATGTGATTTTTTCAAATAGGAAGTCACACGTTCGAATCTAAGTTTTGAAAGTATGAGACTAAAACAATTATCAGTCAATAATGGGGCCGAAAAATGATACCTTAAATTAAAGCCACCCATGTATTATTATAATTAAAATAGTGTGACATTGAGGACTATATATATCTAACCACTAAACCACCCAACCACAACAATTGTACTACACTCATCATTATAATTGGAAACTTAGTGCATCTCATCTCCAATTCAATTAATTACACATAGAATGGGTGCAGGCTTTAGGTTTTGGTTGTGCTTTCTTCTTGTTTTGGTTTCAGGTTTGGTCTGCGAATCTCGTGCTCTGAAGCCATTCTCACCCATTCCCAAAAAGGCTGGCGCATTGAGGGCCAGGGCTGAAGAAATCATCAACGCCAGTTTGCTACGTACGAGGAACACAATCAGCAAGTTTGATGTTAACAGGGTCAGTCCCGGAGGGCCTGACCCCAAACATCATTAATCATGTTTATTTATAATGGAGGCTATAGTAGTTGTCAAATTTAGTCTCATAATAAAACAAATACGTACTCCCTACCATATATTATTTACTCAATTTATGCATGAAGATATGATTTTGTAATTCATTTTTATCTTTCGTTAATTTAAGAGGTAACTTGTGAGTCTGTGATGACCTCCACTTTAAGACATGCCTATTTGTCATTTTGTACTCAAAATTATGTGTGTAATGTATTACGGTCTTAATTATCAATTAATATTTCTAATGCATTCGATAAATATGTCACTATAACAATTTACAACAAAATTAACATTCATCAACTTATTTATAGTTCGTTGATCATGTTAATTAATCATTTAGATTACACATAAAGTTATAAATGCATAATATACGCACAGTTTAATGACTTTAATCCCATGAGAGTGACAATTACATCATATATCAGTTTTTTACACTTAGCAATTAGAATATTAGAAATTTATATTTTTACTTTACCCACTGAATAAATTTCTCATTAGGATTAAATCCTTGATTTTGGCATTTGTGTTTCCACAAGGCATTTGTGATTAAGTGAATACAACATATATTATGAAGGCACTAATGGTGTGAAATGGCGTAGTGGCTGTCATTGTATTAATTTAGCCAATCTGGATCGCAATCCAAATAGAGTGTAACTTATAATATGAAGTTACTTTCTGAATTATATTTGTCCTTTTATTCTCAGCCTATTCGCACTAGTTGGAATACTATTGTCCCATACCTGTTAGGGACTCTGGTTCTCAGTCTATTTGCACTAGTTGGAATACTACCGTGCCTCTATGTATTCTACACTTAGAGTAATAATACCCAATTTTAACCAGCTTGGTTGACGTGAGTGACTGTGTACTTGTCTTTTGAGAGAGGTCAGGAGTTCGCGCCGATGCGAATGAGGATTAGTCTGAGTATGGTACGAGCTTAAAGGTGCCTCCTATAGTTAGGGCCTGCTCAGGACATCTCGTGGTCTGACCAATAATACGCAATTTTTCTTTTCATTAGGTGTCTATTAATTGGTTGACTCAACTAAAAAAAATTGATCTAATATATATATCACAAGGAAAATTTTAGTAACACTTTATAAGGAATCTGGATTTGTGTAAAACATGAATAGATTTGATTCAACAGTCAGTAGGGAGAGGGTAGTGGCAATATCTAGAGTTCTTCATACACAGAAAGAACCTCTCATAAGCCAATGCCATTTTGGTAGCTGTAAACATTGAGACTGCATATTTTCTGCAAACCATTCCTTTCTTCTGCAACACTGCAGGGCCATCTGCTATGGCAAACTCCAAGGCCTCCACAAATGACCTAACATTGGGAGAAAATGTGTACCCAAAACCCTCATTCAACACCACACTCCTACTTATGCTTGGGAAATTTGGAGTCAAAACTGGCTTCCCACAATGCATTGCTTCCATTAGAGTTAGATCCAGCCCTTGAGGCCTTAAAGTCGGGTTCACGAAAAGGTCCAAGGCATTGTAGAATTTTGAGAGCTCAGAAGGATCCAATGCCCCTAAAACCTTCACATTCTTCTTGTCCAGTTCTGCATACCTGCTTCCCCATGGCCCTGACCCTGCTACTAGCAGGAAAACGCCCGGGTAGCGATTGATGATCGATGAGAAGGCCTCGAAGAGCAACGGGTGCCCTTTATCTTTCACCAATCTCCCAGCTACCCCAAGAATCAAGGTGGCATTTAAGGGCACCCCATGTTTTTCCCTGAACTCTTCTCCTGATTTTCTGTCATACACAAACTTAGACTCGTCTACCCCGTTGAGAATTATGTGTACATTCCTCTGTGGGAGCTGATATATGTTCACCAGAACCTCCCCTGCACTGTCACTTATGCATATATGCTCAGAATAGCTTGGGAAGAACCCGATTTCGTCGATTAGCCTTGGCATGGCTTCTTGAAGCTCAGCCATGGGGGAGCTTTTCGGGTTTTCGAGAAGTTCTTGGAACAGCTTTGAGTGCATAATCTCGTACCAGATCCCGTGCCAGGTGACAGCCACTTTATTAGGCAACATTTTTGTTCGCCAGTGAGGCAGAGAGACACTCTCTGTGTGGACATAATCAAACGCCCCATTTTCCTTGGTTTCTTGATGGAAAATCTCGAATGCTTCTGTGCAATTGAGCTTCCCATACTCGTTTGGTGCGAAGTAAACGTGGAGATTCCCGTGGTGGAGATTCTGGTGCGGCCATTTGTCGGACGGCACCGTGAAAACGTGGATTTCGTGGCCCCTGGCGGCGAGGGCGGTGTAGAGCGTGGAGGCGTGGCGTTCCATTCCGCCGGGATCCGCCCCGATCGGCCATGTCTTGGAGAAAACTGCCAGCTTCAACTTCTCATTTGTTGCCCCAAAACACAGCTTATTCCACGCGAACTTGGCATCTCGAAGATCGCCGCTAAACTTATTAGTTTCCTCTGCTGCCCAGAAAAACGGATCTTTCGAGTCTTTCAGTGCAATAAACAAGTAAGCTAAAGAAGCAAGAAAGAGAGCTGCTGCGAGGATGGTTGAAGATCTTATTAAGGGGAATGGCTTGGAGGAATGATGGTGAGACTTGAAAGAATGCTGCTTCGAACCCATTGAATTGAAGATTATTGGAATGAAATGGAATTGAATTTTTCAAGAATATAATGATAGTTTGAATTTCAATGCTTAATTATATTACATCCCATGAATGGTGGATCTCCTCGAGTTTGTGAATGTTAGTTTCCGGTGAGATCGAGCGCACATGGCTTTCCTTAAATTCTTGTCAACTTTGCTTCGTTTTCAAGTACAGTACAGTACTCTTATTTTATACCTTAAAATAAGGAAATTTCATTCTGGGTACTGTAGCCACCATGCAAGGAAGAAGAAGAATCTATGTACAAGGACTTGCTGACTTACACGTTATATATGCTACAAATGTCGCATATTATTACTCATTTTTTGAATATCTTGACAAATGCATGTGAACATTACACATGTAAATAATTAAGCAAATTAAAATATCGACTATCTTATATGAGTAGTAATAAATAATCTATGTACATTCTTTTTCATTGCAATATGTAGTATATTTACGTGGTATATTCTCACTGATTTAAAAAAAAAAAAAAAAAGTTAATTTCATTTTTGTTCCTTCTCCTAATTTTATTTTTGTTCCTAGATTTATAAGTGATAGTCCACACGTTTTTTTTTTTTTTTATTAGAACATCCACTTTTGATCATAGTATTATTATGGTATGACCATTTATGGTCCTTTATCAACAAAACTGTTTAAATATCGTTAAATAATACAAAGATATTTCGGTCTTCAATTATGAGTTTTTTAATATATATATAACGGTTCATTTGTATAAAAAAGATTGAAATGTCTTTGTATTTAACGACATTTCAACGATTTTGTTGATGAAGGACTAAAAATTATCATGTCACAATAATATTATGACCAAATAACTGTAGCTTAAAATGGCATAAAAAGGCATATTAAGTGGCTATTTTGTGGTACAATTATCAGTGGGGTCCACTTCCGATTTGGGTTGGGTCAAAGTGGATTCGAGTTCTTCGTAGTGAGACGAAGAGATTGATATATTGTACGCTCAAAACGGATAAAGGGTGAATGAGATATTGATTCTCAAAGTAGACCCATTTGAGTTGGGAAATGAAGGGATATAGTGGACTTTGTCCCACATTAGTTTGGAAAGAAGATTTGCCTCCCTTATATACAAGAGCTCTTTTGAAGCTTGTAGAATTGTATAGCATAGAGGCTCTCTCGCGCGGGGGGTGGGGTTGCAAATCAAAATCCAACTAGAAGAGATCGAAAAGGCTTGATTTAAGCGTGCGCTGGTATAGTCACTTGGTTCGGCCGAGTTCGACCAAAACCAAGAGTGTGGTGCACCGAGAGCACAACTCTCGTGCATCAATGATCACAAGAGGTCGGCCGAGTTCGACCAAAACCAAGAGTGTGGTGCACCGAGAGCACAACTCTCGTGCATCAATGATCACGAGAGGTGCACTCTCGGGTTGCACCACATAGATGTACTCTTGTGTTGCTTGGTCCATGTGCTCTCGTGTGAACCTGCACCCCAACGGTCTGAAACTCGAAAATTCAGAAGATTAAACTCATATGTTACTGGAATTAACACTATTTTAATTCCAATTTGAAGATTAAACTCATCTGTTACTGGAAATCAAAATCCAACTAGAAGAGATCGAAAAGGCTTGATTTAAGCCCGAGCTCGCGTGCGCTGGCACCTGCGGGCATAAGTTATGCCAAACTTCGGTATCATTTTCCAACTGCTATAGTCACTTGGTTCGGCCGAGTTCGACCAAAACCGAGAGTGTGGTGCACCGAGAGCACAACTCTCGTGCATCAATGATCACGAGAGGTGCACTCTCGGGTTGCACCACATAGATGTACTCTCGTGTTGACTGGTCCATGTGCTCTCGTGTGAACCTGCACCCCAATGGTCTGAAACTCGAAAATTCAGAAGATTAAACTCATATGTTACTGGAATTAACACTATTTTAATTCCAATTTGAAGATTAAACTCATCTGTTACTGGAAATCAAAATCCAACTAGAAGAGATCGAAAAGGCTTGATTTAAGCCCGAGCTCGCGTGCGCTGGCACCTGCGGGCATAAGTTATGCCAAACTTCGGTATCATTTTCCAACTGCTATAGTCACTTGGTTCGGCCGAGTTCGACCAAAACCGAGAGTGTGGTGCACCGAGAGCACAACTCTCGTGCATCAATGATCACGAGAGGTGCACTCTCGGGTTGCACCACATAGATGTACTCTCGTGTTGCCTGGTCTGTGTGCTCTCGTGTGAACCTGCACCCCAACGGTCTGAAACTCGAAAATTCAGAAGATTAAACTCATATGTTACTGGAATTAACACTGTTTTAATTCCAATTTGAAGATTAAACTCATCTGTTACTGGAATTAACACTGTTTTAATTCCAATTTTAAAACTGAGTTTAATCCTACTTAGTGGGTGGTTGTTACAGGTGTTACACAATTGGTTTTAATACCAATTTAATGGCCATGTTGAATGCTATCACTCCAACATCCCTATATAAAGATAGGTAGAGCAGTACGTATCATTTTACACAGTATAGAAACAAAGGAATTCCAGTAGCTTTATCCTCTCAAAACTCTGCTTCTACTCTTTTCTTTAGCCAATATGTGCTCCAGCTTTGCTTTGTTTGCCGGGTTCTTTGTTTAGGTGCTTAAACAAAAAATCGTAGCACGTTTTATCCTGGGAAACCTAGGCTACAACGCTCCTAGCACTTGTGGGAGGTAGCAAATAAGGTTTTAAGGAAAAGAACTTTGTGTTCGAACTCGTGTTAACCTTTACCCAGTTTTTCCACATCTTTTCCTTCCCAGTTTTTCTGTTTTCCCATACAATAATAATTTTTGTGTAGAATTATTATTTTGAGATTTTTCCACCTTTTTACCCAACAATAACGATATTCTAATAAAAAATGACTAAAAGTAAATTGTCACCCATAAATCTATGACCATGAAATTTAACTTTTAAAAAATTCTTAATTTTTATTTTTTCCGTATTTCCTTTAATAAAATCAAACTATGTAGTAAGAGTATGCTTATTATTTTCTATCCGTGAGAATGATGAGTCAAACTTTGTAGTTTTGTTTCCTTGTCTGGTTTGGTACACCAATTAAAAATATTTTCTTTTTTGAAGACAATTAAAAATATTTTTTAGTGTGACATGCAATGATTAATCAATTGTTCAATTAATAGATAATATGATTTGACAATCTATTGGACCGTGATTACGAGAAGAATCAACTAATTCTGAGACCTTATTATCCCTTCAACACACCAAAAAAAAAAAAAAAAAAAAATCTTTATCATTTGAAATAAAATTATTATATATGTCACATTTTGTATGTCATGTTCAGATAATAATGCCATTTCACTCAAACTATTTGTAATATTTATTTTAATATTAGTGAATAAAGTTTGTGTATTTAAAATGATAATAAACTTAAAATTAAATGCAAAATTAATTTTAAACAAATCAAATTAAGTAAATATTATTATATTTTAATTTTACGCAAAGAATAAAAGAGTTGCAAAAGAATTAAAAAAAAAAAAAAACTAAAAATGTCACAAGTTTCTTTTGCACCAATTTAATTGTGTAATAATAGTGAGTTATATAAAAATAAAATATCTATTATTTTTATTAAAATGTTAAAAATATTTTACAATAAGTCACTTTATTAAGAATAATAATAAATTAAATTTATACTTGGTTACCAAAATTTATATATAAAGGACAAAAGTTTTTAAAAATGATATTTTAAAAATATTTTATTATTGCACAATGAAAAAAATTGTATAAATTATTAATTAATATACATAATTATACCAATAATTTAATATTTTAATTAAAACATTACAAAACATTGACTCTTAGATTACCTAGGTAATCTGAGCCTAGTAATGTTATATTACCTTGTTTGGTTCAAATTATGCGATTACCTGGTAATGTTATATTACCTGAAAGTTTATGTGACGGTAATGTAATTATCCCCATTTTTTAAGATAATCTTAGATTACTTTGAATTATTCTAATTTTGCTCTTGTTAACTAATTCTTATATAATAATAATAATAATAATAATAATAATAATAATAATAATAATAATAATAATAATAATAATAATAATAATAATGAAATAAGTATATGTTTATATAATCAAATATACATGTGTATATTATATATTTGGTTTTCTTAATATTTAAGCATTGATATACATTGAGGATATTACTGCAAATTGATCCATATAACCTAAAATATAATCCTTAACCAAATAAGGTAATATTATATTTCACAATTCAAACCAAACACATATAAGATAAAAAATTTCAAAATCTCATATTATCTTCCTACAGATAATCCTATTACCTGAAGTAATATAAGATTCCGTGAACCAAACGTCCCTAATAGTAATTTTGTAATGTAATGTAAATATAGGAGGAGATGCAGCGTGCACGTAGGAAGGAAATGAATTCCCAGAAGTGAATGTGATGCTGGATTGCTGGTGAATCTTAGGATCTGACCGCGCAAAAAAAGAAAAAAATAATGTTTTTATTCGTTGGTTGTTTGACCGGAGATGTTCAATGATCACGTCATCGCATAGATCACGCCGCTATCAATCCTCCGACGTGGCAACAACTGTCTCCAAGATCATCGTCTCAGGAAGCGCGTGAGGAGCAACTTTCTGGAATCTTCAAAAAACAAAACCTCCATTTTATACATTAATTAATAATAATAATAAATAAATACTCCGTACTAAAAAGGTTGCGCGAGTAGAGTTCGGACCGGACAACATACACACACAACACTCTCCCTCCCAAATATTGTTTTTGCTTCTTCTTCTCTCTCTCTCTCTCTCTCTCTGTACCAAACCCTAAAAATCTTTCCCCCTCTTTAGTCTTTACGAAAAATATATTTTTTTAAAATAGGAAATATTTTTTTTTTTCTAAAATTTTTACCGTACAGATCCTTCAACTTTTCTGTAATTTCCGTTTTCTCCTTTTTCACTATCGAAAAACCCTAGCGAGCTTCCGTACGAATTCGATTCCTGTATCGTTCTGAAAATCGGAGCTTTTTTCGAGTCAACCGGGTTAGGGTTTTCGATTCGGGTTGCGCATCGGTGGTTCTTCGAACCCTAGTTTTGTTTTACCCTCATTTCTTTTTGGTTGAGGTTCGATCCTTCTGAGATTGGTGTTTAGGGTTTCGTTTGTCAGGCTTCGTTGTTGGTTTTTGTCGGGGTCCGGTTTCATGTATGGATTCGGGTACAAATGATTTGAATTCGAGAGAGAGGTTGCGGTGGGGCGACGCTAGCAAGGTCTATACCAGAAAGGGGAAAAGGAAGGCCGCTCTTATCTCTGACAACGACAACAGAGCTACAAACACCGCCACCGCTACCGCCACTACAGCGACACCACAGGCCACTAACTCCAACGAAGAAATCCAGAAGGAGAATATTGATGTTCAAGGACCGAATCTGCAAACCCTAGAATTCGAGGAACCAAAATTAGCGGAGCAAGAAAAAGAACAACCGGATGCGCGGCATCAGGACCAGGCGATTTCGGAACCGCATGATTCTTTGAATCGGATTTCTAATCGGGATGTAAGCGCCGGCGATGAGCAAGTGGTAGCCTCCCATGGCGAGGAAGTACAGGATGGTGGAAGTGGACCCCTGGTGGAGCCAGATGGCAGCGACGGGTGCCAGCCAATGGTGCAAGATAATCACATAGACGAGCCGGATAGAAGTATCAGATGCCAGCCTGTGACTCAGGAGAATCACATAGAGGAGCCCAATGGGAATATCGGATGTCAGCCCTTGGTTCAGGAGAATCATGTAGATGAGCCTGATGGAAGCATTGGATGCCAGCCCGTGGTTCAGGGGAATTACATAGAGAAGCAGGATGGAAGCATACGATGCCAGCTCGATGTTGTGGACAATCACATAGATGAGCCTGATGCTGTGGACAATCACATAGATGACCCTGATGGAAGTCTTGGATGCCAGCCAATGGTGCAGGATAACAAACCAGATGGAAGTCTAGGATGCCTGCCAGTGGCCCAGGATAATCACATAGACAAGCCAGATGGGACTATCAGATGCCAGCCTGTGGTGCAGGATAATCGCACAGATGAGCAGGACGGAAGCCTGGGATGCTCCCCTGTCATGCTGGATAATCACATTGATGAGCAGGATGGAAGCCTGGGATGCCCCCCTGTCATGCAGGATAATCACATAGATGAACCCGATGTGAATCTCAGATGCCAGCTTGTTGTGCAGGATAATCCTGTAGACGAACCAGATGGAAGTCTCAGGCACCCTCCAATGACGCAGGACAATTTCATAGAAGAGCCAGATGGAAGTACCCAATGCCAGCCCATGGTGCAGGATAATCACATGAATGCGCTGTCATCTGGGTACCAACCAGAGATTATTGAAGTGGTGAAGCCTGGCCCTATCATCACTAGGCTAGAAGATAGGGTTAGGATTCATTTGTCAGGAGCAAGGCCCGTAGACGAGATTAGGGATCTTAAGAGGAAACTAGAGAGTGAGCTCTATCAGGTTAGGGATGTAGTAAAGAAGCTTGAAGCCAATGAGCTTCAGCTAACTGCTTATGATAATACTGCTGATGTTACTAATATTGGTAGCACTGGTGCTGTTCCTGCCAATGTTGCTGGTGCATATGGGCATCCACAGTTTCCCCGGAATTATGTTATCAAGAATAGAACATTAGTGAGAGTGAACTCAGAGGTTGGTTCAGTGGGGCACCAAGAAGTTAGCCTGTTTAGGCCACCGAGTATTTTGGTCACAGAAAGCAATCATGGGGTTGGTGAACTTGTGGAAAAGGAAAAGAGGACACCAAAGGCTAATCAGTATTATACAAATTCAGAGTTCCTACTTGGGAAGGATCGGTTGCCTACTGAAAGCAATAAAAAGTTGAAGCCGAATGGTAACAGGAAGAAGCATGGTGGGGAGTTTGGCCATGGTTTTGGCTTCAATTTTGGGTCTGAGAAGCATAAGAATCAGGTATTTAGGAGATGCAGTGCCCTGCTTCAGAAGTTGATGAAGCATAATTATGGTTGGGTGTTTAATAAACCGGTGGATGCTTATGCTCTTGGGCTACATGATTATCATGATATTATTAAACATCCTATGGATTTGGGCACAATTAAGACTAGGCTTTCCCAGAATTGGTACAAATCCCCAAGGGAGTTTGCAGAGGATGTGAGACTAGTGTTTCGTAATGCCATGACATATAATCCAAAAGGCCAGGATGTTCACGTTATGGCAGAACAGATGTCCAAGATTTTTGAAGAGAAGTGGGCAGCTATAGAGGCTGATCTTAATCCAAATTGGAGTCTTCAAGTTTATCATGACTCTGGTTTGCCCACTCCCACTTCAAGAAAGACAGCTCCTCCTTCATTTGTCTCTGCACCTGTTCCAGCATCTGTTCTTGCTCCTCAAATGAGGACTTTTGATAGGTCTGAGTCAATTACTAGGTCAGTTGATACCAAAATGAAGCCATCTTTTCATTATAGGACACCTGTTCCTAAGAAACCAAAAGCTAAGGACCCCAACAAACGGGATATGACATACGAGGAAAAACAGAAACTTAGCACAAATCTTCAGAGTTTACCTTCTGAAAAGCTTGATGCTATTGTTCAGATCATTAAGAAAAGGAACTCATCACTTTCTCAACATGATGATGAGATCGAAGTAGATATAGATAGTGTTGATGCGGAAACACTTTGGGAGCTTGATAGATTTGTAACCAATTACAAGAAAAGTTTGAGCAAAAATAGGAAAAAGGCTGAAATCGCTCAAGCTAGAGCTGCTCAGAATGCTTCTGCTATGGTAAGTGTATGAATCCTGATTTCCAAGTCATTCCTCTTTCATATTGGTGTAAACCAGGAAAGCTTATGGTTGTATTATTGTCAATGTAGACCCATTTCCCAGTGGTTGCTGATTCACAGAAAGCAAGCCGAAGTAGTGAGTACCTCTACCAACAATGGTGCTTCATAAGTTCATATTCTTGCTTTAGATAGAAATATAATGTTATTTGTCTATTTTGATTTGTGAATAGGAGAGGCAAATTATCCTATAACTACTTCACCTCCTCGTCCTGCTCAAGGAGAAAAACTGGTGGATAATGCAAGTAGGTCTAGCAGTAGCTCAAGTAGTTCTAGCAGTGACTCGGGATCATCTTCAAGTGGTAATTATGATTTTCTCTTGTGCATATTTTCTGATGTGGTGGTTGTATATTTTGGAAACAGCTGGTGGACTTATTTTTATGGTCTCTGGATAAATATGATGGATATATGATCTTGTTCATAATTTGTGCAGATTCTGATAGTGATAGTTCTTCTGCATATGGATCAGATGCTGGGCGTTAGCTGAAAGTGCTCTTTATTGCATGGAAAAGCACTCTTTGGTAATGACATTGACTTTTATTTTTAATTTCCTTTTTTGTCATTCACACTCTTTATAGGGAGATGCAACATTTTTTCAATTGATCCATATTATCTCTTTTCCTTGCATTTCCCCCAGTCATAATCCTAGTATTTGACTGATATACTGTTGTCAGAGCACAGAGACAAATTAGCAATGTGATGACTTCATTGTGCTTATAATTTTTCATGTTGATTACATGATTTTATATGTTTATTTTAGAGACAAAACAGATGTAGTTCATATACTAGAAATCAATCTGTTAAACCAACTAGTGACTAGAGTTGATTGAGAAAGGAAGATGATCAAATTGGAAGGTTTGAACATGGTTCAGGAATTAGTTTTGTACTTCCATATGGAACTAAGGAATCGTTGGAATATCAATATGAAGTTGGGAGAGGGTAGAAGTGAGGAGAAAATTATAAGTTTGGTATCTCACCGAAAAGATACGATTAGGAAATATGGTAGCATGAAGACAGAGGACAGCCATAACATTAAGCTCAATAATAAGGGGAAGAAGGATATAGATAGATAACTACACAAACTCATTGACTTTTAGCTCTTTTGTGTCTTTCTCACTGATTTTGACAAAGGAATGTCTCTTTGTTATGTATGGTGTACTATGCTAGACATGAAAAAACCCTTGAAGGCAGTTTTGTTTTGCCTTTTTTTTTTTTCAATTTTGAGAATTTGAGGAAAATTATTTCTTGAATATTTGGTTCAGTTATTTTTTGCTTCATTTGATTTGATCAAGAAAGCCCTGTAGGTAAAATGGAATGTTTTTTAAGCCTTGATTAATGACATAACCTCTTTATCAAGTTGTTCATATTTTGCACTTCATATATATGTTTCGTGACATCCGATGTCTTAAATTGATTTGAAATTGTAATTTTTGCAGCGGATTTGGGACAAACCCCCTGCATGATTCCTGGGATAGTTAAGTGCCTTAGTTTGAATTGTGCTGCGTGCAGAATGGAAGTGCCTCATTTTTTGACAATGGAAAAGGCTGCATGGCTCAACCATAATTGAATTGTTGATCTATGTTTTAAGGTGACCTTTTTGGTTGGTTGGATATGGAAAGGCAGCTTATGGGGCACTTTGCGGCAACGAGTTGTTGAGTGGCTGGCTGGTGGGATTTAGATTGCAGAAAAGTAGTGTTGCTCCTCCTTCCTATTTAAAGAATGTGGTGTATGTAATATTAGATTATTTTTTCTCTCTTTTTCTTGGCTTTACAATTAAACAATTAACATTCTCTTTTTTCTGCTTTTGAATAGAAAAATGAGTACAAGTGAACAGAGAAGGAAAGGGTGTTTTATGATTTCTTCTACTAGAGGGTTTTTGTAGTAATAATCTTTGGAATACAAAGTTGAAAGTGATGGCGGTTGTAATATCATCCCAAGCTCTTAGAAGTAAATTGAGTGCTATTTGAAAGAGCAAAATCTCAGGTGCCTAAAGCCCCTAAGAGGAATCAAAATAATTAAACTTGCATCTCAATCAAAGCAAAAGGATATGACTAATTTTGGTGGGCAAACTTGATTCCCTTTTCAATGGATGCTTTCAGCTCAGGTTTAAGCTTTTCAAGTCCTTCCTTCTCAAAGTCCGAAAGTGTGCCCAACCCTAGGACTTCGTCAACACCATTTTTCCCTACTCTCACCTGGAAAACAAGTGACAGTGATAAAAAAGAAAAAAAGAACCCACAGAAGTGACCATCACAACATGTCATAAAGCACATAAGACCATCTATCTGGACAGTTAAGAGACAATTACTGAACCAACCAACATACACATTCCATTTAGGGATGGCTATTCTACCAGCACGTGATGAGATCCCCGCCCCAACGGGTATTAAAATACCCGCACGATTTGGGTAATGGGTGTGGCCCGCGCGAGTATGGGGCGGGTACCCGGGGGTATCCCTGCCAAACACCCGCACTTGCACTTATATAAGTTTATTATATGCTCATAAAATATTTGTGTTATTAGTATTCACTTATTATATAAGTTTATGTATCTTGTATTCTTGTATAATTAAAAAAGCATAATGAATTGAAATTCTTTATGGGCTAGTGCTTTGGGGATTCAAATGCATTAACATCTCATATTTCCATTGTAAGAAATACACAGGCTGAATTGATGAATAGCAGAGAGGGAAAGCGAAGAAACTAAATCCTTTCAAGTTCACACAACGCATGTGCTAACAATTTAAGTGGCTTAGCCCGCCCCAAAGGCAGATATCAAGTGCCCTCCCTAATAAGTCCCCAGACAATATAAAACCAGGATCAAAACTACACATAAGGCCCCAAACTCTGGAGGGTGTCAAAATTTTCAGAAAATGCATTTAAAACAATCTGAGCTAAGTTAATTAACAAAGTGGTCAAAAGGGGGGAAAAAGAAGGGGTATTTAATGAGAGGGATGAAACTGCACATGTATTTATTTTGCAAATTTCAATCAGTGGATTGGTATTACCTTAGATGCAAAGAAAGGAAGTTCAGTGACAGTAGACTGCACAAAAGAACACTCCACAACATCTGGAGCTCCATTGAGTCCTTTCAAGCAAGCATCCGCAAATACGGCCCCAGCGTAGCTACAGGAATTGCAATGTTTAGTCAGTTGATAACTACGTTACCAAACTGGAAAGGCAAAACATTATTTAAGACAACACTAACATACTAAAAGAGATGCAAATTATGCTACAGCACAGAATAACTCTCTCCAACCATCTCTAAACAATAAGACCAGTAATCCTTGATAGTATGTTGGCAATAAAAAAAAAAAAAAAAAAAAAAAAAAAAGGTAACTTTGGGATTTCAGATGATCTTTCTGTTGATTTGATAATATTCAGAGAATCTTACGCCATAGAGAGGGTGGCTGAACCTTTCCCTGCTTTGGCTTCTACAACCTCTGTTCCACCATCTTGGGTTCGTTTGGTGAGCGCTACAATCTCATCATCTGACAAGTTGGCTTTTGGAGTAGCCTGAAGTAATGCACACAACTCAGTCAAAAAATTAGAGTTGGAAGTTACAAACCATGTATTCAAAAATAGGATATACTGCATGAAAGAAAGGTATATAGTACTTGGGAAAACAGTGGGAGAATTGTTATGCCTGCATGACCACCGACTACAGGTACATTGACCTCTGAATGATATAGCAGAAGAGTCAATTAATAAACACAGACTTTCACAATCTGCAGTTTAAATTATAGCAAGATATTAGCATCTGCTAAAGAGGACATTTGTTAAAAATCATACCAGCAACATTAACTTTAGCTTTTCCAGCATAGAAAGTCTTGGCCCTGACTACATCAAGGGTGGTAACACCAAAGAGTCTCTTTTCATCATAAGTTCCAGCCTTTTTGAAGACCTCAGCAGCAATTGGGACAGTGGAGTTCACAGGGTTGCTAATCATATTGACAAGTGCCTATTGTTTTTGGGGGCGAGGACATGTTAACACAGAAAAATCAATACTTGATAATATGAGTTTTGAGTAAACAGTTAATACCAAAAAAAATTTTAAAAAATGAACCATTTGAGCAACAGAGGTACCTACATTAGGGCAATACTTGGCAATGGCAGTGCAGAGAGATTTAACAATGCCAGCATTGATGTTGAAGAGATCATCACGGGTCATGCCTGGCTTTCGTGGCACACCAGCTGGAATAATGACAACATCAGAACCCTCCAAAGCCTTCCCAAGATTTTCATCTCCCATATACCCAACAACCTATACCCAAAGCAAAAAGTGCCAAAAACCATATGTGAACTCCACAAAATCAAAAGCAGCAAAAGAACAGATTCAGACAACGAAACAACAGCTTAAAATCACAAACTGTTTAAGAAAACAATGAATTTAGAAGTAAACAAAAGCAAACAGAGCACAAGGTCCAGGCTATTCAAACGAGTACAAATGAGCTCTAACTGTCTAAAACACGGGAGACACCAAACATATTCAGATCACAAACCGCGGAAAGTTGAAATCAAGCAGAAGAATTATTCGACTAGGTAAAGAAAAATAAACCTCAGATCCGGTGTTGATATGGCTGACATCGGCGGCGACGCCAGGAGTACCCGCAATATCATAGAGCTCAAGGCGAGTAACTAGAGGATTAAGCTTCATGAGCAGCGAAAGTGGCTGACCGATCCCGCCGGCAGCCCCCAAGATTGCAACTTTCCTCTCCGGAGAGGTTCCGGATGCGAACCCTCGGCGAGAAGCATTTGAAGTGGAGCTTCTGAGAATTGATCTCAGCATTGTTGATTTCTAGTCCCCGTTTCTCAACTGCCTATTTTTTGAAGATGAACAAAAAACCAAACTGTAGATTTTTTATTTTCCTAAGAAAAGTGGAGAAGAAGAGTCAAGACTCCTGCACAGCTTATGCCTTGTGGTTAGCGTTCGTTCTTCTCCTTTCAACGTCACTGCAAGCACCTGCAAATCACTTTACTTCTTTTTTTTTTTTTTTTTTTCTTTTTTCTTTTCTTTTTTTTTTCAAAACTAGTACTCCGTAAAATATAAAGAGTAAATTATACTTTTTACGTAATACTTTTAATTTTATAATTAAAATATACAGAGCAATATATCTTTATTAATTTATTTTAAAAAAATTACTACATTTTTTAATTAAAAAATACTCCGTATTATATTTAAAACCAAAGAAGTCTTTTTTATAACAATCCTCTTTACATCTCATCTCATGTATACTTACAATACACACTCTTTTTAAACATTTATTAACTACTACAGAGCAATATAAAATGCTAAAATTTCTTTAAAGAATTATAATATTACCCATTCAAAATTTAGATAAATTAAGCCATTTCCCATTCCAAAATCCAAACATACAGAATATGAAGTCCTTTTAAGTGGTGCACCAATTTAGTGCAAGAAATCTAATAATAAGATGAGATTCTTTCACTTTCTTGTTATCTTCATTCTTTGTTTTTAATGGGATTGATTTTTTTTTTTTCCTTTTTATATATAGTGATATAATTTGATTTCTAGAAAGCTACCCTACCTAATATCTAAGATATTGGCAGACAAGTATGAAATATCTAATCTACACTTGTCCACAATCTGAATATCTGAGATTCTGGTGTTCATATGAACTCATCTAGTCATCTCCCAATTTCTGCTCTATATTTATTACCCTTCTCCATTTTCCTGGAAAAAAAAAAAAAGCCAGAGAATATAAAATGAAAAAAAAAAAAAAATGAGAACTGGAGAAATGGAAAAGAATTTAAGTAAACACAATCTTTTTTGGGATGAGGGGATGCTGCACTGCACAATGTAAGAAGTAGAAGCAATGGAAGTATGGAACATATCCTATCTCCTATACAGTAATCCATATTATACAGTACAGAACTAAACAAACTAAACTCGCGGGGTGGGCAGTTTTACTGGCAGTCCATTCTATCTGGCTCCTAAGATTCACTCTCTTATGGCATTTTTTCATTGTTGTCTGAGATCACTGCATGCATAAATGTTTTGCAAGCTTAAGTCGTGCTGAAAGTAAAGGTAATGCGTAAAAGACCATACAATATGAAGCAAACCTTCATGAGCGAGTGAACAATTGATGTTTTGGACTCAATGACATCAAGAGGAGGCCGCTGGCTGCAATTCAAGAAATAGATGCAGCTTCTCGCGCATAAATGCTCTGAATCCAGTTTAGAACAGGGGTGCAATCCTCACGCCCGATGAAGTGCCTTCACATGCATTAAAAGATTTTTTCTTCATTGTATAAAAGGAAGAAAAGGTAAATGTAATAAAATAAAAGAGATAGTTTATCATTTCAAGTGCATACTGGTTTCTAGGGCGATAGGTTTTCATTTCTGCAACTTCACGTCGGCTTGAAATTTCTTTCTTCACAGAAAGAGATTTAGGAACCTTCAAATGACCAGATTGACTATGATATGAATCATAGATGAAGTCAAGCACACTTCCCTGTAACAACATGCAAATTAGATCTCACCAAAATAAATATTGAAATTCTTCAAGGAATTGGGGCTCAGAATGCCAGTTGCTTATAGGGTAAGTATATACCATGGGTCTAGAAGCATCAATCCAGTGATAAAGTGGTTCATTACGGAACCATGTTAGCTGCCTTTTAGCAAAATTTCTGCAAGAGAAACAAGGTTCAGCTTGTCAGGTTCTTCAAGACTCAAGAGCAACAAGAAAAGCAAGACCGAGAGTGGAGAAGTAAACTTGACCACATAACAACAACAACAACAAAATGACTGGAACTTTCTGCCAATTGGAAGTATATCATGCTAACTCACTAAGCCACAAAAAGTTATCCAACAGAGACAAAGAAAAGGCCAACGTTTTAGTATGGTTTTACAAAAACTGAATAAACAAGGAAAAGGTCATTAAAGAAAGAGAAAATTTACCTGGATGCTTTCTGGAATTCAGACAGAAAGGCAAAAAAGTCCCTTGGAGAACTAGAACCCCCTTGTTCTCTGCAGTACAGGAGGTATTCCATAGCCTGAAATATGTTTAACAACGAAAGTAAAGTTCAAGGGGAATAAAAAATTATTTACTCCAGCAATCAAGGAATATGCTAATGGCAACACAGGTTTTTGTACTCTATCAAGTTATTCCAAAAGGAATGAGGTATATACTTGCCGATAACCAATAGCTCGACTTGCAGAATTTGAGTTTGGCAGAAGACCCAAATCAAGAAGCCCCCTAGCCTCAGACAGAACTCCATAATTTTCTATCAACAAGAAAAATGACAATTTGCCAGACATCATTAACTAAATCATGCACAAGAAATGAGAATAACAGGCATTAACATATAGGTAGGCTGATTTACCTAAGAGCATATCTTCACACCGGAAATCAATTGATCTATAGAGATCTAGCCTCTGGGTAGTAAGAAATACACAGAGGAAGTCATAGTCCAAATCCTTTTCTTTACTCTGCTGAAGCCCATCAGTGGAAGAACTAATGTCAGAAGTATCTGTTACACCTGAATCAAACTGCTCCTTGAAAGAATTATATGGTACTTCAAAAGCTGATGGAGATAACCCACTTGACTGCAAGTTGAAGACAATATAAAAAAGATTATGGTATTTGATGTATACAAAGGGAAAACATGGTGTGGCAATCACAGATGGAATTGCAGAAAGATGCAGTTACCTTGATGATCTCAAGCCTGCGACGTAGACGATACCAATCATTTGCAGCTAAAGACTTAACTCCTGGATCACCAGCTTTAACTACCAACTCAACAGCAGCCTCCCAGTTTTCATCTTTCTGTAAATCAGCAATCTCTGTACACACTTCAGATGTTATTTCTCGCGAGGCTTGTGGTACGTCTGGCTTCCCATAAACAAACCTTAAATTATAGCAAGAATAGTCATCTCATAATTTGGTGTTGGAATTTGAAGTTTGAAATTACCAGTCCATTTGAAGCAGCACAACAAATTCTAAATACTTTCATATTCAATATTGTCATGACAGATCTTAATGGTGCCAAGAAAATCGCATAACCTATCTGATAGAATCCTCAATGCCCATATATTGCATGGCAATCAACTGAACTTAGGCAGAAGATTTAGTGCAATGGGAAAACAATGAGACGGCATACTAAAGAATTAGGCACCTATAGTATGCTCTTTTTGGTGTTTTATGTAATGTCTCAGAATCAGTGCACCTAGAATATTGCACAGAAAAACTCTAGTTAAATAACAGCACCAGAATTATTCAAGTGTAATGAGAGTACAGAGTGTCCATTCTCAACCAAGCAACAATAGCCAGTTCTTAGTTATAAAATAAATCAACACAGGAATTAAACATCCTATGGGTAAGTCCATTTTCTTAGCACAAATGAGGAACTGAGCTCGTGCTCAAGGTTTTTTCTTCAATTTATAATTAAGTATACTCTAAAATCTCAATATATTACATCCTTAGTTGGAAAAAAAAATGATAAAGTTGATGAAGCATATCAAATTTGAGAAAATATAGAAACATACCACCGTAAATACAATCCAGTACCACCTGCAACAATTGGAACGCGGCCCCTGTCAAGGACATCTCTTGTCGCTTGCCTTGCATCCTCAAAGAATTTTCCAACTGAATAATCTAGTTGCACAAAGGTGGGCAAAACACAAAGAACCGTCTCCTCATTAGGAGACAACAATATAGGCATATAGCCCCATAGGAATACTGATCACCGTAAGTTGGAAAATATATTCTGAAGCACACAATTATTCTAATCCAAATGTCATTTTTTTTAAATTATATATACCTAGCAAAGAACATTTGAAAATCTGCCAAGCATATTAAAAGGAACACCATTAACAAAATTCTAATATTTTAATAAATGCATTTACTATTGAGGATTCTTTGATAAGATCTAGATAGCAATACCTTCAGATGGATGCAGAATGTCAATCAGATGGTGTGGCACCTCCTGAAAAGATAGTGGAAGGAATACTTACCACATAACCATAATAACCTAAACCAAATTGATCAAATGCCTAATAACCATGTATTATAGAATTTTCTCTTCCATGTTCTCTTTGATGTTCAAAATAACCTGATTATTTGGTAGTGAAGCTATGCACATTGATTTTAGTTGTATGCAAGGTTTGTCAACAAAAACCATATTTTAGACAAAACTTAATAAGGGAGTGCATTTTAAGGTGCCAAACCTTATTTCCTCGTTTCTATTAAAAGAACAAGATCAACATGCTGCGAAGAAGTAGAAAATTGCAACATGTTGGAATTTGGAAGAACCCTCTCTCTTGGTGATTCATGAATTTTGTTTCCTGGAAGAGTTACTAACAGAAAAACAAAGGTACAGCTAGCCATCTAATTAGGGGATTACTTATGCCAGCAAAAGGGCTAGCAAATATGCCAAATAAATCCAGATAAAGAGTGTATAATTTCAACATATCATCACTCAAAACAGCATATGCAAAAATTTGACAATGCTCCAAAAAGGAGCAATTGAAAACATATCATATGCAATACAAAAGAAGCAATTCACAACATATCATAAAGGTCACAGGAACCACCAGAAAAACAGAAGTAGTAAATGTGTTTCTTTTATAAGCAGTCATACTATGTAATGTACCTTTCTTTCACTGAGTGAAGGCTTTGCAGAACCAATATCAAGCCCTCTGTACACCTGCCAATGGTAAAAACAATATCTCACATTTACTACTGCGTATGTTAGTATATAATAACCATCTAGAAAATCAATGCACCACTAAGTTCCAGTATTTACTGCTCGAATTCCTTTTTTTTTTTTCCTTTTTTGTTTATTATTTCCATTTAAAGAGAGCAAACGTATAAGAACCTGCACTGAGTCCGCGCTGATGATTTCTCCATTGAGTCGCTTCGCGAGCTCAAGCGCAAGCTTGCTTTTGCCGGCACCGGTGGGTCCTGATATCACAATTACCTTCTCCTTCTTTCCCGCCACCGGTTTGGTGGAGGCGGAGCAGGAGGTAGCGAATAATCTCCGGCCGCCTCGGTGGAAGGTGAGGCCATAAGGGCCCCGCAAAAGAGGCGTCTCGGCCGTGCACCGGAAGCGAAGGCAGCTCATTCGGACACCGCCGCTAAGCATTTGGTTCGGATAGCGTTTTCAAGTTCTATAGATTTTACAGTTAATGTCTCCGTTAGATTTTCTCCGTTTTGAGCAAAATGCATTTCGCCCCTTGAAGTTTTCAATGTTTCGCATTTTACCCCATTAACACACCCAATTGACACATGAGAGGCACACATTCTCTTAGAGAAAGCGCGTTAAAAACACGTGAAACTTGTTTTTTGTTTGATTATTACTAATCTTGAAACAATCAAGCCTTGGAGGAGCTGGTTTTTCTCTCTCACCTACCTCATATAAAATACATGCTTAAAATTCATCACAAAATTAGTGAAGCATCATTAAAATGGTCATGTTATTGTGAATGACCTCTCACTGCTTACCAAGTTACCAAGCCATTGCCCCGTGGAACTACCTCAAATGATATATCACTTGACTTAAAGTTACCATCTCAATGACAAATGTGCGGGTTTGATTTTCACCAATAACATATTAGAGGTAGATCTTTTCATACTAGAGTTTAGGTTTATGAGCTCCCCAAATTGGAGATGCAAATATGAATTTCCTATATCCAAAAGTCAACGACATGGACTGACTGATTAGACGACTTACAATTTACTTTCACTCTTGCGTATCGATTCGGAAAATTTAAGATTAATCTAGCATAAGTCATTAAGCCATTAAAAAGGCAAAGGAGGTTATGTGAAAAAAGTAAAGAGGTGAATCGGGAAATTCATACTTTGGATAGAAATCCATTTATATGTCAGGTTGTGATGAGTGGTTTATAAATCATCACTTACTTTGTAATGTTCTTCTGAATGATCTAGATTAATTGATAAACATGGAACCCGAATGGATTTGGGTGTGTTCTTAGAAATGATCAAGATCTTTTTTTTTTTGTGGCAGCTAGAAGCACCCAATGGAAAGGTACTTATACTTCAAAAGAGGCCGAGGCAATTGCAATAAGAGAATCTCTTAGCTGATTAAAAACTATCAACTTGGACAAAGTAATCATCAACACCGATTCCCTCCAAGTCGTACATGGGCTCAATGCTAATATGGGAACTCTTATTTTCACATTATTTTACCGGATATTAAAAATTTACTAAGTGTGTTTACTCAAAGTAGTTTAATCTTTGCTAAATGATCTACGAATTAGGCAACCCACTTGTTGGCTAGGAAATCTGTTTCTATGTTTGTTTGTTTGGAGTAGTTCACTAACCCTCCACCTATCATTTGTAATGTGTTAACTACGGATTTGAATTAATCTATTGCTGATATTTTCAAAAAAAAAAAAAAAAAAAAAAAAAAAAAAAAAAAAGATGTGGTCGTCTGTTTTGCTAAAAAAAAAAAGAAAGTGAAGGGGTTATATGTAAATTTCACAATTTAAGGGGGTTCACTCCACACTACAATTGACTATAGTATATAGATAGCTCTAAACCCTAGTCAAAACCTTGAGTGAGAAATTGCGATTCAAGCAAAAATGATGAAAATTGTATCCAATTGGATATCAGCAGGGCGATTAACGGTGTTAAGACGACTGTGTACGGCGGTGGAGGCAAAGGCGGAGTCGGAGGCGACGCCTGCTGTGCAGCAAGGAAACCAACGGCTTTACCAGAGGCTTTCGGCGTTGAGTGCGACTAAAGGGAAGGCGTCGGAGATACTAAACGAGTACATTAGAGAGGGTATAGGAGTTGCCGTCGGGAAACATCATCTAGAAAGGTGTATCAGGGAGCTGCGCAAATATGGAAAACATCAATGTGCCCTTGAGGTATAATCATCCCCTCCCCGCTACATTAATTTCCCCCCATATATAATAATATAATAATGTTGTTGATGTTTTGTGAAATTCTAAGAACCTTAAAATGCTATTGGAAAGGAAAAGATTACTACTTGGTGTTATGAGAAAGACAACATTTTATGTGTTTTCAGATTATCAATTTCTGCCAATTTCCCAGTGTGGAATTATATTTCAATGTTAAAGTTTTACTTAGAAGAGGTTTTTTAATCTAGACAAGAAAGTAAACTACTTTATTTGTGTTTGTAATAAGAGACAGAGCCACTCTTTTTTGCCTTTCTATATTGTATATGCATGTGAAGATTGCTTTTGATGGGTTGATGCAGATAATGGAATGGATGGTGAGCAGGGGTGTTAACTTTGGGCCTAAAGATCATGCAATTCATTTGGATCTTATAGCAAAGGTTCAAGGAGTTTCTGCTGCTGAAAATTATTTTAATGGCCTTTCACCTGATGCAAAGGTTCAAAAAACGTATGGAGCTCTGCTAAATTGCTATTGTGTTGAAAAGATGGTGGACAAAGCATTAGAAGTGTTTGAGAAAATGGACAAGATGAACTATGCTATTACGTCGTTGAGTTTTAACAATCTTATGTCATTGTATATGAGACTCAAGCAACCGGAGAAGGTGCCTCCTTTGGCAGAGGAAATGAAGAGAAGAAATATACCGCTAAGCACATTTACTTACAATATTTTGATGAATAGCTATACCTCTCTCGGTGATATAGAGGGAGTGGAGAGAGTTTTTGAGGAGATAAAGAGTAAAAATGAAAAAATGTGTCATTGGACAACATACAGTCATTTGGCCATTGCATACTCTAAGGCTGGGCTTAATGAGAAGGCTGAGCTAGCTCTGAAAAAGCTGGAGGAAGTGATTGGACCTCGCGAGCGTGACGGATACCACTTTTTAATCAGCTTGTATGCTGGAATCTCTAACCTAGGCGAGGTGCATCGCGTTTGGAATTCTATGAAATCTCAGTTTCAGGTGACACCCAATTATAGTTATCTTATCGTGCTTCAAGCTCTAAGTAAGCTGAATGATGTGGACGGGTTAAAGAAAGTCTTTACAGAATGGGAACAAAGCTGCTCCAGTTTTGATATGAGACTGGCAAATAGTGTCATTGGCGCTTACTTAAGGCATGACATGATCAGTGAAGCTGAAGCAATATTTCGTACTGCCATGGAGAGATCAAAAGGACCATTCTTCTTGACATGGGAAATGCTTGCGGTTTCCTTTCTGAAGAAAAAGAAAATTGATCGAGCTTTGCAGTGCTTTGAAGCTGCTATATCCAGAGTCCAGGAGCATGAATGGTCTCCAAAACCCGCAACCATAGAAGCATTTCTCAATTATTTTGAAGAAGAGAGAGACGTCGATGGTGCTGAAAAGTTCTACAGTGATTTGAAGAAGCTGAGTTGTCTTAACGGCGATGTGTACAAATCATTGATGCAGACTTACACTGCTGCTGGCAGAATATCGCATGATATGCGCCAGAGAATGGAGGAAGATGGAATTGACATGAGTGATGAGCTTGAAAACTTACTAAAAAAGGTTTGCCTTGAATGATTTTATGAGTAACCTAATTTAACCCCATGATTTGCAGTGTTCTAGTATTTATTCATGAACAAGTCTTGTGTGAGACTGTCTCTCATAAACATGTAATACTATTTTATAGTTAAATGTAATACTTTTTTTAATGGATTCATTGAAAAATTTTACATTTTAGCTAATTATACGGTCTTGTGCAAAATTTATTCTTTATTCATTATATGCTGAAAAACAAAGAAAGGAATTATTTTTATACTGCAACAATGTAACACTTTCAATGTGTTTTGTAACATTTTATCAAATTATGAACATATAGTTTTGTGATTTGTGAATACAGAGTTCAACAATTGAGAATATAAACATCGAAAATTATGAACATAAAGTTCTGTAATTGCGAATATAAAGTTCAATAATTATGAATATAAAGTTCAAAAATTATGAATATATAGCTTTATAATTATGAACATATAATTCAATAATTATGAACATTGAACAGTGTGCACCATGCATGGTGCACAAGGCATAACATAATTTGCCATAAAACACACACAACTAAAATAGTATTCCGTAATAAAATCCTCTCAAGTCAATAATTTTAAGCCCAAAAACTCCTTTGTTTTTATTATTTCCTTTTTTTTGTCCACACAAATTATTTTAAGCCCAAAAACTCCTTTGTTTTTATTATTTTCTTTTTTTTGTCCACACAAATTACCCTTTTTGTTGTTTACCTATTTTATTTAAAGAGTTATTGTCATTTTGGTCCCTCAACTATTATTTACTTATCACATTTGATCTTCAATTATTAATTAATTGTTGCATCTGGTATGCAAATATACTTTTATTGTCACATTTGGTCCTACTAACTAAATCTTTGGCAAGTACTCACCCAAAAGTGTAGATTTTCTCACGTCTAGGGTTGCAAGAAAAAAGTCGCACATTCAAATCTAAATACATAATATTACTATTTGCCTCTTGCAGACACCGAAATGAGATAGGAATTTGCATTTTCCAGTAAGTGATTACTAGAGATTTGACTAGCATGACCAAATGTGACAACAAAACCATACTTGTGCATCAAATGTGGTAGAATTCATAATTGAGGATCAAATATGATAATTGAACAATAGTCAGAGAACCAAAAGTGGTAGAATTAATAATTGGGGATCAAATGTAATAACTAAACAATAGTCAGAGAACCAAAAATGGAAATTTAGTCTACTAAAATATTGTCAAAAGAAGGAATTCTGTTGAATTCAAATATTGCCAAAAGAAGGAATTGTGTGGGCAACTTATTGACAATGAACAGCTCAAACTACCATTTGTCTGTACAAGACAAGTAAATGGCTTATCTACAGAAGTTCCCATCCAGATTCACAGCATTTGCATGACTGTAAAGATGTTGCAGGGACATTAGCAGGGCTATCCATTGAATGTTGGCAGCCTTCTGGATCGATATCTCCATACCAAATCGCCAACAGCTTGTACTCAGTAACTAATTTCTTCCGAGAAGTTAAAGCATCTTGTATTAATTTCTACAGGAAGGATGAAAGAGATGGTTAGAACGGGAGATTGTAGAACAGAATGCAAACATGTTACATTGTTACCTAAATTTGTTTTAGTTAATGTTTCAAATATATGTTGGTTTGATAGACAGACTAGTTTAAAACTCTCTTCATTAGGATAAATCAAGCAGTGTCTTTTTCCCTTTTTTGACAAAGTTAAATATGCAGTGTCTCTATTTCCCACCTTGTAAGATTTCAATCTTCTTGGTCCTGAAGAGACAGTGTTGAGTGGTTTATTGCTATCCATTTGGACGCAGCTAAAGTCAAGTTTCTCCTTATCAGATAGATCAATCGTTTCCATGCAAGGATCTGCAATATTAATGCAAGGGTCAATGCTCGATCTTGCAAAAGCAATTAACAATACTCAAAGGAAATGTATACTGCAGTTCTTAAATAAGTCCACTTAACTTTGCGTAACACAAGGACATGTATCAGTAAGCATTAGTTGCAATTGAAGATTCAATTATACAGAATATTTGCAATTGCATTTCCTTTATTGTAAAATAAGGTATTCTGTTACCAGTGCCAATGAGGCGCTACACTTTACAATTATCCTTATTAACGTTAGAACTATTTTCTTTTCTCATTATTTAGATAGATCAATAGTCATCTTTGTTAAATCCATCACTCTGCAATGATTCTCTTTATATAAAATAGTATTGTACCTGTTTCCACAGGAGAAATAAGAGCTGTCAATTGATTATGCTGAAAACCATGCTTGAGATCATCTTCTGATGCACCTGTTAAACAGAAAATTAGTTAAATAAGGTATAATTATACAGAAGTAAGCTGAGAAAAGTAATAGGCCTCTCAAAGAATTGTAGTTCTCATTCATTCAAGACGGTGAAATGCAGGAAATATCTACCTCTAAAATCTGAAGACGATGCAGTGCTGCAGAAATCCGGCATCACATCAATAGCATTGTTTACACAGGAAAAAGTAGCAGAGGATGTGGGGAACTTCAGGTCACTAGAGACTCTAGAACCACACTCGCCAGAATCAGCATGCCTGCCATGTTCTCTGGTTCCTGAGTAAAAGCTTCAAATAAGAAATTTGACAAATTTGGAGGCTATTGACATCGATGTAGAGGAAAATATTCATTTCTCCATCAATGTATTTAACCTCAGATGAAAGGACAAGTAGTTTCTAGAGACCAGACAGTAGTTGACATTTCAGAAACACAATTAAAAGTCTCTAAGAGGCTATTAGACAGAGTCTCACTTTTATGAAACGACCCAAGTCCTGGATCATTGAGTGAAGTTACTGAAGTAACCTGAGATTTGTGATCTTGATCATTTGAAAACGTATGGGACTTCAATGCAATATCTTCAGAAGAGTCTGATCCCAGATTCAGTGATTGCTCCACCCGCATGGTCTTCCCATGCAATTGTCTCCAATCATGTGATGCATCAGAAACATGACAAGAAGCACTAGAAAAGCTACTAAACATTGTCCCATCATCTGTGAACTCACTGCCGTCATCTGTATCATGAAGTGCTTCAGACAAGGTCTTATCATCAGAGGAACTAGATTCGCCCGTCACAAACTCTTCCACCAACATGCTACTCCCTTCAGAAACAAATTCAGTAGCATCCCTAGTAGTCACCATCTCATCCTCCTGGGAGGTTCTACAGTCGGACTCAAGATGCGAGGCAGAAAGTAGTTGTGATCTAGATGAATTTTGATATTCAGTAGAACCCAATTCCTCAGTCACTATTTTAACCTCCTGGATGGAGTCTCCTTTTAGTTTTATCTGACAGCTCAATGAAAGATTCGGGTCATCTGGAAAGCTCTTACTGAGAGTATCATCTTTCTGGGCAGTTGTTGGTCCTACACCATGAAGTGAAGATTGTAGTGATTCAGAACTTGTATTGCAGGAAGAATGTGATCCCTGAGCCCCCATTGTCATACTCTCCTTGAAGTTGAGATGTGAACTCCTACAAATTGCAGCATCACCATCATTATGAAAAGACAATCCAGTTTCTGCACTTGCATTGCTTTGTTCTCTTCTTGTGGACTGCCCTTCTTGTTCTACAGGATTATGTGGTGACAGAAAATCCTGCACAACACCAGAATATAACCTTTTCATGTTGTCACCAACACTTTGCACCTGATTCCCAACATAATTCGCAGTACCCTAGGGTAAAAAATTGAGAACATGAGAGACATAATGAGGTGAGAGTGAAAAAGGGCTCCCCTGGAGCTAAAATATTCATATTTATCCATGAGTGTCTGTATCAAGGAACAAACTGAAGCTCAAAATGTGAAGAACAAAGGGTAGTTAAGTAGGCAGACATCTCTTTGGACTGTTGGAGCATCAAAATGCAATTAATGAATGCATTCATGGTGAGAAGATGAATGATTGAAAACAAGGAATGCAATACCTTGGTTATGAAACCATCAACATCCTGGCATATACACTCAAACTTATGGTACATGTTACCAACCCAAGTCTTGTTTGTGTTTGTATAACCCATGATGACTTTATGTGTTTTATATACCTATGTAACTCCACTAGAGTGGATATCAAAACACTTTCAGCAACCTGCACAGATTCATTCAAGACTAACATCGGTTCTGGTACACTTCATGACAAATACAGAAGGTTTTTAGGATTAAAAACACTAAAGAAAGAGAAGTTGCACACATGGCCGAAGTATACATCATCTGAAAATGGTAGGGGATAAGAATTCCTGAATAGTACAGCATAAGAAACACCTCAATGCCAATAGACAGGTAATAATACATGACATGCAAGAATGGAATGCCCAGCCTGTATTACTTCATATATTTCTTCTAAAAAGTAAATCAATAAGTCAATAGCATTAGATCATCATAAATCAGTATTGAAGCTAACCTCTACCAAAACTAACGATGCTAAATATACAATTCCGGAATCCTCCATGAAAAACTAATTTCAAACAACGCACTCAAGAGCACAAAGTCACTGTATGTAAAAAATAATTATTATAAAAAAAATTAAAAAAAAATAAAAATAAATAAATAAAAAGACGACTAAAGCAAACAGTTATGATAACCTGCAGCTAAGTTCTGGAAAAATCGTATGATACAAAACCTGAAACTTAAATATTAAAAAAAAAAGAGAGAGAGAGAGAGAGAGAGAAAAACCGATTCTACAGCCGTTTAACTTATGTTGATTTTAATCAAATTTACTACTACTTCAAATTTTGAAGTCTTTAAGCATTATGAGTGAATATAATTGACATATAATAATTGTATATAGCGCACAAACGGAAAAGATCACGGCTATCGGAAAGAGCACTGTAGAAACTCACCGGCGGACTGTTGAAGCCGGCAACGATCACAGCCAGGTGTGACAGGGTTTTGTCTTTGGTGTGTGAGAGAGAGCCGAGAGGGAGGTTTTGAGGGTACGGACTACGCAGATTATACCACGTGCGCGGGTTTTAGGAACAACTGCTCAAAATCCGCACACTATTTGTTGTATACTGTACCTCTATTTTTTTTTTTATTTTACGGAGTAATATATATGTATAGAATCTTAATCATATTAGAATTATTTCCCAGGTAATGTTCTTATAAGTGTCACTATCTTCACGAGTACATGAAAATTAATATTGTATATTAAAAAATTATATTTATAAACGAAATTGGAAATTCAAAATTCACGTGTATATATTAATTATTTGTTGTGTGTAAACATAAGATATGCACACAACATATGTCTCATATCCACACGCAAATTTGAATTCTCCTAAATTAATTTCATCTATATATTTATTTTTTTAATGCACAATATTGATTCTCATGTAATCATGGGAACGTCCATTTAACCAATTTAGTTTTTTGTGACTTCGTTTGTATAGCCGAAATTATAAATTTGGTCTTGAATAAATAGACGTCAGACGGATAATCAAATTAGTTAAAAATTTTAAAGTTGAAGATTTAATTAAGTAAAAATAAAATATCAAGAACTAAATTGATAATTTCACTATATTCAAAGGATCATTTTTAATAATTAACTCTTTTTAATTTAATGAGGTTGCTCACTACTATTGCTGCTACCATTGTAACATTGTTTCACTGCCATGGCTATCATTTGCCATACACACCAAAGCAATCATACAGACATCATATCCATTATAACTACAGAATTTCTCGCTCCAACTTCACTGTAGAACAAGACTTTCCATGAGATCATGGAATGCACTTTAATCAAGTAGTGAAACCAAACAACATTCATAGAGTATCTTTAAACAAAAAATCCTAACTTATGAAGGTTCGGAGCTACAATCTCTGCACACTTCCTACTGATGATAGTTAGGGGGAGGGGGGATGTTCTGATTCTGAGAAGGGTTTCTGACATAACCACCTTCATTATAATTTAAAACCACATCACCACACCAAAATGTTTCAATCATGGGAAGAATAAGATGGAATTATAAGCATGATGTAACAGCTAATAGCATTTACCATGTATTCCGGTCTTCAATGAAGACTCTGAAGGGGCATTACTGCATAGCCACTCTAAAACCATAGTTCAACTACATTTCAAATTGCCAATGAATCTTCAAAGCAGTTTTATGAGGAAAAAGTCACATAGTTTGGGTGTCACATACACAAATGGTAAAATGGGGGAAAAATTTCAGAAATACACAAGCGTAGTGGCTTTGACTACAGAGGTAGAGATGCAAGAATCCTAAATATCAGCAACCCGAAAATGCAAAATGAGTTACTCTAACATTAGAGCATTACTCCAGAAACATGTCATATCAATAATACCAAGCCATAGAACTTCACACCTCCATAGTCCTTGTTTTTAACATCCAAATAAGAATCCGGGAGCACAATGTGATTGGATTGAGTTGACAAACCCCCCGAATGAGGTTTTGAGCTATCTCCAAGCTGACGCTGCGAAGAGCTGCCTTACCAATGAGGCAATGAGAGCTAGGAATTAGCCTAGCTGGGTTCTCCCCTCCCCACCTTTTCAAAAAAAATAATAATAATAAGAATCCGGGAGCACCCACCGAACTCCTTTTAACTCTGGGAAATGTCTCTTTATGTAGGCTAGACATGAAAAACGTAACCCATTGAAGGCAGTTTTTTTTTTTTTTTTTTTTTTTTTTTTTTTTCAATTTTGAAAATTTGAGGAAAAGTATTTCTTGAATATTTGGTTTTCAGTTATTTTTCGCTTCATTCGGTTTGATGCAATAAAGCCCGGTAGGTAAAATGGAATGTTTTAAGCCTTGATTTACGACATAACCTCTTTATCAAGTTGTTTATATTTTACATTCATCGGGCAAAATAGTCCCAACGGGTTGATCCACAATAGATGGGATTATTGATAGCTATATCAAAACTTTTCCTCAGGTGGTGGATAATGCAAGTAAGTCTAGCAGTAGCTCAAGTAGTTATAGCACTGACTCAGGGTAATTGTCAAGTGGTAATTATGATTTTCTCTTGTGCATATTTTTTTATGTAAGGGTGGTGGACTTATTTTTATAATCTCTGGATAAATATGATGGATATTATTTGATCTTGTTCATAATTAGTGCAGATTCTGATAGTGATATTTCTTCTACATATGACATATGGATCACATGGTGGGTGTTAGCTGAAAGTGCTCTTTATTGCATGGAAAAGCACTCTTTTGTAATGACCTTGACTTTTATTTGTAATTTTCTTTTTTGTCATTCACACTCTTTACAAGGGGATGCAACATTTTTTCAATTGATTGATATTATCTTTTTTCCTTATATTTTCCCAGTCATAGTCCTTGTATTTGACTGATATACTATTTTCAAAGTACAGAGACAAATTACCAATGTGATAACTTCATTGTGCTTATAATTTTTCATGCTGTTTATATTTTGCACTTCATATAAGCCTTGATTTACACCATAACCTCTTTATCAAGTTGTTTATATTTTGCACTTCATATACGTTTCATTGATTTAATGACGTGACATCCGATCTCTTAAATTGATTTGAAATTGTAATTTTTGCAACGAATTGGAGACAAACCCCAGCATGATTCATGGGATAGTTAAGTGCCTTAGGCTAACCCCATCCCTGAAATTATTCTACTTGCAAGATGAGGTGGCAAAAAAAATTATTTTTTTATTAAGAACTCTTGCCATGTGTCTAGCAAGCTTTCTTAGAGCATCCACATCAATGGATATTAGGGAGATAATGTCAGATGAATTATCTTGGGTGGGGATAATAACAAATGTGGGGTGGGGTTATTTGGGGAGATATTTGTCCTGCAAGTTAAGGGTTAATGTCAGGAAAAAAAAAAAAAACAAACACTGGCGCGCACAGCCATTGTCTACACGGGCGCGTGCAATGCACGCGCCCGTGTAGCGCGTCAGGCGCGCTGACAGCGCGCCTGACGCGACAGACTTTTATTTTTTTTTTTTTTTCAAATTTTGTTTTGTTAATTTTTTTTCTTTTTTTTCTCTCCCCACATACATTCTCTTTTCTAATCACTCTTACATTATCTCCCAAATCTCCCCAACTAATGTGGATGCTCTTATTTAGAAAGCTTGCTAACACTTACAAAGGCTGCCGCATGGCAGCCTTTATGTACTTTTTCTTTTTTAATTTTTTTTATTTGTGTACTTTTCTTATTTGTTATATTATTTTATTATTATATTTATAATATAAAATGAAAGTGGGGTCCTTTTTAAAAGTGAGAGAGTATTGTAGGGATGTAGAGAAAATAGTTGAAGAATTGCAAATTTGATGATGTGGAAGTGGGACCCATTTTAGAAAGTAGAGAAAATTGCTGGGATAAGGTTAGCCTTAGCTGCACGGAAGTGACTATTTTTTGACAATGGAAAAGACTGCAAGACTCAACCATTATTGAATTGTTGATCTATGATTTAAAGTGAACTTTTTGGTGGGATATGGAAAGGCAGCTTATGGGGCACTTTGCGGCAAGTTGAGATCTTGTTTGGCAACATTTCACAAAGCTTATCAGGGAGGATGGAACTTGCGATAAATGCAAATGTAATACACACCAAAGCAAGCAATTATACAGACAGACATCACATCCATTATAATTACAGAATTTTTCAATGAAATCATGAAACAAACGCACTCATCTCCGTATTTAATTAAGTAGAATGAAACCAAACAACATTCATAGAGTATCTTTAAATAATAATTCCTAAACTTATGGAGGTTCGGAGCTACTATACATTCTTTGCACAGTTCCTAGTGATGATAGTTAGGAGGTTCTGATTCTGGCATCCATGTTTGCATAGTTGTTCTGGGGCAGAGCTATTCTGGTTTGTCAATGAAGCAGATTAGAGTTGCTCTGGTTAGGATGCGATGGATGCGACTTCGAGCACTGACTTGTTGCTATGGAGATAATGCAAGTAGTTCTAGCAGTGTTTTTGTCTTGTGCATATTTTCTGATGTGATGGTGGTGGACTTGTTAGTGCACATTCTTATAGTGTGATAGTCTGGGGCGGAGCTACCCCTGGGTAGGGGGCCCTGCCCCCCACCCCACTACTATTTTTAGTAGATATATATGTATATATTATTATAATATAGATAAATTACACTTTTAACTTCCTCCTAGTTTTTTTTTTTTAAATAAAAATATATTATGATAGTTCTTCTCAGGGATGAATCCAGAAATTTTGTTTAATGGGGCGAAATTTTAAAACAAATAGATAGTTTGAAAAAAAAAATGAAACACTTAAGAAATAAAACTATAAATATTGTTGAATATAGCGATAAATAAATAAATAAATAAATAAATAAATATATATATATATATATATATATATATATATATATATATGTGTGTGTGTGTGTGTGTGTGTGTGTGTGTGTGTGTTTATGTGTGTGTGTAGAAATTTCACTATTAATATTTAAAAAGTCAAAAGTTAACTGTGTTGAAGCAAAATTAAAATTTAAGTACTAACTATATTAGTACAGGTTTCAAAAAAAAAAAAAAAAAAAAAACTATGTTTGTACATAACAGAAATTGAACCGTGTTGATAGAAGGATTTGATCCCTGACCATCTATAAAGCAAAGCGCGCACCTTCCATTTAATCTAAATCATCCTTTATAACATTTTTCTGTTTTTATATACTTATATTAAAACGCGTACTATATATAAACTATATAGGAGGGGGGTAGGAGGGGGGAGAAGGGGGGAGGGGGGCAGCTGCCCCCATGCTGGAACCGCCCCTGGTTTTTCTGCATATGACATATGAATCACATGCTGGGCGTTAGCTGAAAGTGCTCTTTATTGCTACTTTTTGTTTTCACACTCTTTACAGGGAGATGCAACATTTTTTCAATTGATCCATATTATCTTTTTTTTCTTGTATTTTTCCCACTAATAATCCTTGTATTTGACTGATATACTGTTGTAGCACAGAGACAAATTAACAATGTGATTACTTCAATATTGTGCTTATAATTTTTCATGATTTTATTCATTTGTTTTAGAGACAATACAGATGTAGTTCATATACTAGAAATCAATCAGTTAAACCCACTAGTGATTAGAGTTGATTGAGAAAGAAAGATGATGATCAAATTGGAAGGTTTGAAGGTGGGTGGTTCAGGAATTAGTTTTGTACTTCCATATGGAAGGAACTAAGGAATTGCTGGAGTATCAATATGACATTGGGAGAGGGTAGAAGTGAGGAAAAAATTATAAGTTAGGTATCTCACCAAAAAGATACGATTAGGAAATATGGTATCATGAAGAGGACATTCATGACATTAAGCTCAATAATAAGGGGAAGAAGGATATATACAGATAACTATACAACCTCATCGATTAGGAAATATGGTAGCATGATGACAGAGGACAACCATGGAATTAAGCTCAAATGCTTAATAATAAGGGGAAGAAGGATATAGACAGGATGAATTAAAAAGGCATAATGAATTGAACTTCTTTATGAGCTAGTGTTTTGGGGATTCAAATGCATTAATATCTCATATTTTCATTGTAAGAAATACACTCGATGAATTAATGAATAGCAGAGAGGGAAAGCAAAGAAACTAAATAAGTCTCCAGACAGATATCAAGTGCCCTCCCAAATAAGTCTCCAGACAATATAAAACCAGGATCAAAACTACACAAAAGGCCCCAAACTCTGGAAGGTGTCAAAATTTTCAAATCCTTGCTTTATTAGAGGAACCTTTTTAATATCATTTTCAGAAAATGCATTTAAAACAATCTGAGCTAAGTTAATTAACAAAGTGGTCAAAAGGGGAGAAAAAGAAGGGGTGAAACTACACATGTATGTATTTTGCAAATTTCAATCAGTGGATTGTTATTACCTTTGATGCAAAGTGTTGAATTTGGAGTTAAGTCCTGCAAAGTGTTTAATATAGAGTTCTATTACATTTTTTTTTTAAATTGAGTTAATTATATATATTAAAATAACCCCTTGATTATAACAAAATTATCAATTTAATCCTTAACTATTTTTTTTACCTAATTAAGTCCTCACACTTCATAAATATTAACTAATTTAGTCCTTCATTTGTTTATAGACGACTAAACAAACAAAAAACCAAATTGATTAACATTTTTAAAATTGAGGAATTAATTAAGAAAAAATAATCATTAGTAATTTTTGCTCACTTATGGGCAACTAAGTCGTATGTATAAAGAGCTTATTTCCCTCATATGAAAAACCAAACGAAACGCTGAGACAGCGCATTACTATTGCTGCTACCATTGCAACATTGTTTCCCTGGTGACAGGTCCATGCCATGGCTATCATTTGCCATACACACCAACGCAATTATACAGACATCACATCCATTATAACTACAGAATTTTTCACTGTAGAACAAGTCTTAACATGAGATCATGAAACCAAACAACATTCATGATAGTACCTTTCAACAAAAAAATCCTAAACTTTTGGAAGTCCGGAGCTACATTCTTTGCACAGTTCCTACTGATGATAGTTAGGAGGGGGGATGTTCTGATTCTGGGAAGGGTTTCTGCCATCCATGTTTGGAGCATAATTGTTCTGATTAGGCCCTTGAGAATAGTAGTTTGGGTTTGGCCCTGGAGCATAGTTAGCAGACATGTGTTGGTTAGGACCTGGAGGAGGGTAGTTGTGCTGATTCGGCCCTGGAGGAGGAGGGTAATTGTGCTGGTTTGGCCCAGGCGGAGGAGGGTAGTTCTGGTTCTGCCCTGGTGCATAGTTGTTCTGGTTTGGGCCTGGGGCAGAGCTGTTCTGGTTTGGCCATGAAGCAGAGTTGCTCTGGTTGGGTCCTGGACCATAGTTGCTCGGATTGTTGTTGCCCTGGTTTGGTCCCGGAGCAAAGTTTCCCTGGTTTGGGCCCGGCGCATAGTTGCCCTGGTTTGGGCCTGGAGCAGGTTGATAGTTTGGCCTAGGACCAGGGTTCTGAGCATTTTGATTAGCCATCTGCCTCCTCTCAAAGTTCCTCGATCTATCAAAGTTGCGAGGTCTGTCATTGCGCCTGTTTCTCTCATTGGCCCGGGCATTGTTTCTCACCCACTCCTCATGGTATTTGGGATCATATGGTACAGCTTGCCCATTTATAAATGGCTCTCCTGAAACATCCAATAGTGTCCAGATCAGAACATTATCATAAATAAATATAATACGGGGTAACTGAGTAGAAACAAGCAAGCTCGGTTAAAGACAAAGTAATTCAAATATATATTAACACCCATAACCACCTTCAGTCATGAAGGTTATAGTTCAAAACCACATAACCACACCAAAATGTTTCAATCATGGGAAGAATAAGATGGAATTATAAGCATGATGTAACAGCTAATAGCATTTACCATGTATACCTTCAATGGGTACTATTTCATGATTCATACATTTTTACCTGTTATAATCACAACTAGGAGAAAATGAAAACTAAACATGGGCCTTCAATAGAAAATTGGCACCACCAAAATATTCCGGTCTTCAAGGAAGACTCTTAAGGGGCATTACTGCATAGCCACTCTAAAACCATAGTTCAACTACATTTCAAATTGCCAATGAATCTTCAAAGCAGTTTTAACTTTTATGATAAACATCAGGAAAAAATAAAGTATGGTTTTGATTTTTTTTTTAAGAAGAAAAAGTCACATACACAAATGGTAAAATGGGGGAAAAATTTTTCAGAATACACACGCTTAGTAGCTTTGAATACAGAGGTAGAGATGTAAGAATCCTAAATATCAGCAACCCGAAAATGCAAAATGAGTTACTCTAACATTAGAGTAGTCCAGAAACATGTCATGTCAATAATACCAAGCCATAGAACTACATACCTCCATAGTCCTTGTTTTTAACATCCAAATAAGAATCTGGGAGCACCCACCGAACTCCTTTTAATTCTGGAAAGAAAAAAAAAAAGGCAATTTTTTTAGAGAATCCAAGAACAATAAGATGCAAGAGAGTATGTCCTCAAACAATACCTTTCAATTTGTAAGAGAGTTCCTCTGACACAAGAGCCCCAAATGCATAATAATGCCTGGTTGAGACAGAGTAGATCTTCATCCTAGCCTCTTCCTCGCTACAAGAATATTTGATATTATCATGAATCAAGAGAATATAAATAGGCTGAAAATATACCTCAACCCTTTACCAAGCCAAGAGTGTGGTGGTTATCACACATTTACTAACAGAGAAGCAGATACTGATATTGAGTTCTATATTTATTCATAGATAAGTAGCAAAGAATCATAAAGAACAACTAGGAAAAAATTGGGAACCGAAGACAAACCTTCCAACCACCTGAGCTAAGGTTTTGATGTAACTATCAATAATCTCATCTCTTGTCGGATCGCCCTCCGGCTTCTCCATCACAATGAGCCAATGCTCGAAATCACAGCCGTCGAGCAATATAGTCTCTTTCGGGGGACGATTGGACCAGTTAGGATTGGGATCATTGAGGGATGAGGAGGTCTGGCGAGTCGCCAGTCCCCTTACTGCAGTGTACGCGGCTGGATAGAGTTGACAGACGGCGGGGGAGACTGACACGAGCGGGCGGAGGCGGAAGGAGGAGAAAGCGAGAAAGTTGCGTGGCGGAGTAAGAGAGGAATACGAGCGAAAGAGCTGCTTTCCGGCGGTGATGAGAGAACGAGATAACAAGGTCGCCATACCTGCAACTAGGGTTTATGGTACTCTCTTAAAACCTTCGAAGATATGAGAAGAAGGATAGGGGTTAGGGAGTGGGTTTTATATAAAGAAAATCCATAATTTGTTATCAAAAAAAAAAAAACAAAGCGCTTCTATACTTTCTTTTTTCTTGACTTTCTAAAATTCAAAAAAAAAAAAAAAAATGCAAAGAATTTTGTTTTTAGGCATCTTCAATAGTGATTTTTTTTTTTGTTTTTGAGTTGAGGTGCTTAATAGGAGAGAGAAGAGGAAAGAGGAAAAGAAAAAAGGGAAAAAAAATAAAAAAAAGGAAGTTGACACCGGGAAAAAAATAGAGGAACTGACGGGCGCGATATGTGCAGTCCACTCACGCGATTGTGACTCTCATTTTTCTTTTCTGACGAATTCTATAAAAAATCAATCTTACAAGATGAATTAATTTATTCTCTTTACTCCACATAAGTCATATTTATCTCAAAAACGATGAAAAAATCACAATTGAGGATGACCACAACACTCACAAGTCACCCTTCCTGTAAAAAGTGTGAACATATCTATAATCATGAAAAATCAAATGCTAAGATCATATCACTACTTAAATAATCCATATTTTTTTCCAAATAAATTAAAAAAAATATTTTCCAAACATTACTTGAGCCAAACACCGTTAGAACCAAATTTGAACTAAATTTGGGACAAAAAATTAAAGTTGCACCCAAAATATAGCTCAGCCCTTTGTACCTGGCAAAAGTTTGTACAAAAAGTAATGTTCAAAATCTTGAACCTAAAGAAGATATTCAGAAGAAATAGTATATAATGTATTGCTCGTTTCACCTCAGACAAGTTCTATAAACTACAACACCTGACAAGTCTCCACCCAAGAAAAAGAGTGAAAGATTTGAACTGATTAAGAGTTGATCAAATGTCGGTATTATAGCGCAAGGGATAGCGGCGATGCAGCATCCTACGCAGCCATCTCCGACGCGTCTCTGGGTTTAGACAAAGAAAACACTCCCTTTCTACCGGATCCCTGACAATATCGAGAGCATCGAGATACGCTGTGCTTGATTCTGGAATGGCGTCTTCCATTTCATTCAAGCACTTTATGGCGGCGCCTATAGAGAAATCGGGGCCACTGACTGCAGAAGAGCTCTTCAAGGATATACCGTTAGGGAGAAGCTCGTTTGTGAGCTTTACGAGTTTATTTGCGCAGGCCCTCAACTCGTTCATCCATGAGTCTACGTTTTGTTGAGGAAGTTTAGCGTATGTAGAGGTTGATGATTGTCCAACGAAGTCGCCATCTGGGTATCCACCGGTTTGACGGTCGAGATCTTCTAACCCCTCCACCAATAAGTCGTTGTGCATGTCGATGGACTGCTCGATGGGTGGATGGGCGAGTGGCTGATCGAATTTCCAAGGCATGATGCTTCCTCTTCGATCGGTGTTACCAGTTGTACAGCTGAAACTCGTGTTGTTATGTGGTTTATCCTTCCTGTCGAGCTTAAATACCGGGCATATTCCCTCGGTTACGTGACGAAGGAGATGAGTTGTTCCACTTCGGCTCGAGCAAGTGAAAAGCTTATTGCAATGGTTACATTTGCATTTATCGCAAGTTCCATCTTCCCTGATAAGCTTTGTGAAATGTTGCCAAACAACAGATCTCAACTTCCCGTCTCTTTTTCGTTTCTCACCCGTGCTTGTTTCAGTCAGATCCGCGCCATCCATAATATTTTCATGGTTTCCTTCTACCATCTAAAGAAAAGCAAAGCAAACCTCGATTAGAACATACTCCATTGACCATTGTGAATAATATACTCGAATAATCTCAAAGTGAATAATATACTCGAATGTACACTAGCAGAAGAAATCAACTACTATGTATTTGCTAAGCGTTTACTAAAATGGGAATCAGAAGGGAAAAATCTTTGGATCTGAAGTTCTTAGAACACTAGACTAGAATGTCTTGAGCTTGGCGAGATTCATCAAGGCAACCCAAACTCAAATAGCCCGCTGGCTCATCTCCCTTGAATCCCTACTTGAGCACGGGAATTGAATTGAATTGAATTTCATCATACTGGAAATCCAATTTGCATCTCTAAACACTTTAATCAAAATAAAGTGATGAAGTCTAATCACTTATATCATCCACTTTCCATCATTAACCACCTAGCTTTTAACTACATATATACCCACCATTGCTTTTCGGCTTCCTTCATATCTTTCAACTCAAACAGAGAAAGGTGGTTTTGTAAATTTTCAACCCATGATCAAGTTCATCAACTCTTAAAAGGTTTTTATGGTTTTATACAGATTGCATCCTTGCATAGACTGTGTGGGGTCATTTATTTTATTATGAATGACAATATTATAATATATGATTCATGAAAAAGTAATAGTGGAGCAGTTAAGCATAGTACAAGCAGGAAAAGCAACAACATGAACACATATCATGTCATTTTCAAATCACAGAAAAACTAATAGGCTACTCCCCAACGGGATAAGCCTATTGGCCAATTGACCTTCTTGGTTTGAGCCGGACTATTATGAGCAACCTAGACTGGTTTATCATCCTTTACCGGCTATAATCACAAGACCCTTGCTTAGTGGCTGCAGATTTCACTCATCACCCAAAAAAAAAAAGACTAATAGGCTACTCTCAACCTAACATGAAACCATAGGATGAAATCATTTAATTACAAAATTTACAGAAACAAATAACAGAAAAAGAGGCAACAAAATTGAAACAACTGAAACACACGTATTCTACATTAAAAATCAAGAGGCAACCAAAAAGCAAAATTGCAAATGAAATTTGAGAAATTAAAGGAATATTGGGTGGCCATGGCAGAGAACATCAGAGGAGCTAGAACTGGAAACCAGGCCAGTGATTGAATTGAAGCCATAAAATGCCATGAATTGTGAGAGAGGGGAAGAGTGTAGCAGACTAGGTTCTTTTAGGGTTAGCTTCTATTTTCCCAAAACAAAATTGAATATCTTCATAGCGGGCCGCCGGTCGGGTCGAACACCGAAAACCATTCCAAAACGGCCCGAACCCAAGAATTAACAATTCAAAGAGAAGGTAAAACGGCACGAATTTTTCGATTCATTCACGTATATAATGATGATACAGTAAGAAACATGTTGAATCGAAGCTGAATTGCAATTGTGTACAGAGAGAGGAGAAGTGGAACTTGCCTGCGGAGTTAAAGGAGATGATGACGCTACGGTGACATGCAGGCGATGCTGATCGGCGGTGGCCGCGGAAGGCGAGCCCTGCGGGTTGGGCGAAGCCATGGAAGGTGGAAATGGATCGTGAGACGACGAAATCTCCGACAAAACCCAGAACTGGAACGGGAGTTCGGAACCAGTATGGACCCAAACGAAGAGCTCGAATAATGTTTGGGCTTGAACCGAACTTCGGGCCTGACAATTTTCCCAAAAACCAGCCCGGCTCGGCCCATCCTTGAAGTAGCCCCCAGAAATGTCTTCCCAGTATTTTCACTAATTCACTCGTGGTCAATTGAAAGTGTCCGAGGAAACTCTGTAGCCATTTTACATTTTTACCTAACGTTGAAATTTCAAATACTTTTATTGCTTTCCACATTTGGGCTTTTAAAACGTGGTACTTGTGATTTATTTCGAGTCTCAATTTAATCCTATTCATATATAGTTTGAAATCTCGATTAGATGAGCTAATACTTTTTTATTTGTATTTTTTTTACACAACTTATATAATTATATCTAAATATAATTTTTTATAAATTCAACATGGGCAGCTCAATTGGTCATAGGGGTGAAGTTCGGGAAGAATGACCAGTAGATACTCCACAAGAGGTAGTTTTGTACTAGATCAAACATTGCATTTGCGGTTAGCAAACCCAGTAGATATAGAGTAACCCCGGTGACATACATTGGAAGGCAATTGTCAGCGTTATGAGATACCTAAGGGGTACTCATAACCTTTTACTAAACTACACAAGATATCTTGTTGTACTTTGAGGGTGTTGTGACGCTAATTGGATATCAAATATTAAGGACTTTAAGACCACGAGTGAAGTCAAAAGACAATACGAGTGGTATTGTCTCAATTGACGAGTGAAGTCAAAAGACAATACGAGTGGTATTGTCTCGATTGACTATGTGAAGTCAAAAGACAACGTAGCGGATCTGTTAATCAAATGGTTAAATAGAGAGTTGACTGATAAGTTGACACGAGGAATGGGTCTAAAGCCCTTGGAATAAAGTTCTATAGTGGATATCCAACTTAGCTGACACATAGGTTCAATGGGACAACTAAATTATGAAATGAAGCGTGTCACTAGTGGGGTCGCTTCACGGAGAATTGATTGGACTCAATTCTTTAGAAACTCTTGCAAAATAAGGAATGGTGACCCATGACCAAAACGAGCACACTCATGAGAACAAAACATTGTTGGAAGGTTTCTGTGAGGGATATATCATCGTATAGACAAACGGCAGTACGATTCAAAGACATCGCGTTCTACCGAACAGCTAGTATAGTAAATATATCTTCACAAAGGAAGGTTCAAAGGGTAACATCTACCTATCCTATGTAGTGATCGACCGATGAACACATCGTTCCGGTTTTAAACGCGCCAAAAATCAATTTTTTATTCATGTGGGAAATTGTTGGAAAAATAGCATAAAATGGCATTGTAAGTGGATATTTTGTGGTACAAATATATGTGGGATTCACTTCCGACTGGGTCATATCAAAGTAGATTCGGGTTCTTCATAGTGAGATGAAGAGATCGATATATTATACGCCCAAAATGGATAATAGGTGAATGAGAAATTGATTTTCAAAATAGACCCATTTGAGTTGAAAAATGAAGGTGGAAAGTCTTATAAGTAGTCTTTGTCTCACATTGAAAAAAGAAGGGGATTTGCACCAATTGTATATACAAGACTCTTTTAGAGAAATGTTAAATTGTATAATATAGAGGCCTTCTCTTGTGTACAAATCAAATCTCATTATATGTTTGACTTTTTTTTTTTTATTCAAAGTGAATTAATTTTGAATTACTTCCAACTTTTGAT